CAGCCTTCTGGTTTCACCTCTAAGAGATCCTCAGGCCGATACTCTGTTTCTTCCACTCTTCACATCAGTCATGAGTGGCAGACCACGGCCTCCAGGTCCTCTGTCACCACCTGGCCTTTGTCCCTGGACAGGTCATTCTCTCCCATCTCCCACCCATCCCCACCCTCCAGACCCTTCCACTGCATTCTCTGCAGCTTCGTCTGACCTCAGCCACTTCCTAGATCTTCCCTTCTTTTCTGAATGTGCTGCACCTTCCTTTTTAACTGGAGCCCCACTCTGCTGAGGGCCCCTGCTCCCTGCAGACCTCAGGGAGAGGCCAGTTTCCCTCTCCCAAAGGCAGCTATCAGGCAGGGCCCAGAGGTGGAGGGATCCTTCTAGCTTCTCAGTGCTGCTTCCAAACCTCTTCTCCCTTTTCCTCCCACTCATGTCATTGAACCTCTTGTTTCTCCTCATAGCTGTCAACCTTGACCTCTGGTCACGCCTCCTTCAGTGATTTCAGTTCCCAGCTCGTATCTCTCTCCATTGCTATGCTCAGTGTCATTGTAACACCAGTTTACCAACCCTAACAACATGCTGTGTCCCCTAATTCCTCAGAGCTCCTTCTCCATGTTATTTTAGCCACCTCTGAACTCTCAAAATTTGCTTTTTTAAAAAAAATTAAAATAAGGTTAATATACAGTCTTATATTGGCTCAGGCATATGAGATAGTTGTCCAACATTTATATACCCAACAAAGTGGTAAGCATAAGTCTGTAACCACCTGTCACCGTACAAAGTTATTACGATTTAGTGACTAGATTCCATAGTCTGGACATTACATCCTACTAACGACAGCAACAGAGAGAACCGGGTGCAGGAGCTCATAGCCTGGGCATGTGCATGTCCCTGTGAGGCAGGGACTTTCATCATGCTCTTTCACAGGAAAGCAGACACGGGCTCTCAGACATTAAGGGGCGCTCCCAATGTCACAACTAGAAGCTGCAGAGCCAGGATCTGAACCGGGTCTGTCTGGCTCCAAGCCTGCGCTATGAGTGACCAGCTGCCCTGCCACATTCGCCCTCCGTCCCAGCTCCTGCCCTGCTTGGCCCCAGGCTCCCCTGCATGTGCTGCTTAGTCTGTCCTTAGGCTTTTGCTCCCCTGGTTCACTTCTCCTCGAAGCCTCCCCCACTCCGCCTCTCCAATCCCCTCCCCTCCCCTCCCCGATCTGGTGGGGGATTTCTCTGCTCCTGCAGCCCAGGTTGATCTCTCCTGGCCTCCTTTGAACACCCATAGGACCCAGAGTCCACCCTAAGGCAACTGAGGGCTCATTTACATCTATGATTTTCATGCTTTCTGAACCCAAAGTGGGGTCTTTGGCCCAAGTAAAGTGCCCACTTGGGGACACTGAAGCACAGGATCTGAGTCTGGGGCTGCCTGGGAAAGTGTGGGCCATGGGCTTCCATTATTACATACTGTCTCGAGGGGTCTGTTTACTCCACTGGCTGGGAAGCTCTTGGAGAGAGAGATCGTAACTTCACCAAATAAGTATCATTTTAAAAAAGTGTGTGTATGTGTGTGGTTGGGGAGTATGTATTTTTGGTCCACAGTTGGGAACCTGTACATGCAAAGGTCTGATTCAGTTATATGTAGATTTTCAACTGTGCTGGTGGTCGGCACCCTCAACCCCTGTGTTGTGCAGGGTCAACTGGACTTTAAAACCCTATGCTCCTGGGTCCTGGGAAACCAAGGAAAGTTCAGTCTAGAAGTGAAAGAAATGATTTAGACTTCACCAAGGTCATAGTGAGGCCAACAGTCCCTATAGGGGCCACTGAGTTCAGAAGAACATCTTGAAGAAATGCGGGTGACTGTGGTCATGATCATTTTGGAGGAACTGAAAGTGCCCTGAGGGAAGAGGCAGGAAGTGGCTGGAGACCTGTGAGGTGGTGGCGGTGGTGGTGATGGTGGTGGTGAGGTTGGTGAGAACTGTGTGTGTGGGGGGGAGTCTGTACGTGGGTTGAGAAATTGAGATTGATGTCATGGGCAGAGGACATGCGTCGGGGCTGGGACATTGGCCCATTTCAATGACAGTGAGTTGGGCCTCAATCCCTGTGGTGCTGGCCTGGGTTCTGTGCCCAGCTCTGCCACCCCTCACTGTGTGACTGACTGTAGGCAAGTCTCCTTGGCCTCCCCGGGCCTCAGTCTCCTCATTTCTAGGGTGAGGAGATTGAAAAGCTAAATGGTGGCGTTGGGCTACATCATTCCTAGCTCTCCCTGCTTCCTTCAGGTTTTGTCTCAGGTAACCCAGTTGATGGACTTCAACGCTCTTGATTCCGTATTTTACTTTTCCAAATGCAGGTGCCTTAGGAGTAGGCACCTACTCCTGTTCTGCGTGCTGAACCAACCTGGGGAAACACACCCAGCCCCGGCTTACTGGGGTCACCCCAGCCTCTAGAATGGAAGAGCCAGGTTAACCTAATCACTCTCATACTATCTCCTGATAAAAATTCTTTTTCACAAAGAGCAGAGGATGGGCAAGGGCAGAGGAGAGCAGGGGTGGATGGTTGACTCTTACATGTTGTGAAGGAAGTGGGCCTGCTTTCTCTAGTAAAAGCCACAGTTCAAGCTCCCACCCCCAGTGTGAAATGTGTATCAGAGACCGTGCTTCAGGAGAGGGTAAGTTTTGCCCCGTATGGATCAGAGGGAGCCAGGGCTGGCCCTTCACCAGCTGAGGCTGCCTCCTTCCTTAGCTTGGGGTCTGAGCGCCCCCCCATAGACACTTTTCATCTGGAGGCTACCAACCAAGACAAGAGCTGGGAAGGTGTCACCTTGCTGGGGCTTGTCTGCCTGGAGGAGAACATTAGAGTCAGGAGGAGCCCCGGAAGCTGAAGGATTAATTGTACCCAGGGGCCTGCCTCTGTCCCTGCACACCTGCCCATGCGGGCACATACCTACCTACTCCTAAGCCACCTGCATTTTGAAAAGTAAAATATGAAATCAGGAGCATTTTAGTCCATCTTCACTGGACCACCTGAGACAAAACATGAAGGAAGCAGGGAGGGCTTGTCTTGAGTTTGAGTGCTTCTAGAGGCCAAGCTCCTGTAATCCATCACTGGGGACAATGGCCTTAGTACAGTCCTCCCACCCCCTTGCTGGACTTGTAAGCAAGGAGCTTGGAAGACACAAGGCTGGAGGACACAACCACTGTCTTCAGGTGGTTAAGGCCAATGGCCTTGCCCAAGGATGCTTTTTAGACCCACAGCCCACTGAAGTTGTTGGGTTCTAGGGTGGTGCCCATCCATGTCTGAGTCCTGAACTTGCCAATGCTCAGAGGTAACTCTGCTGTTGAAGGCCTGGCTGAGGTGTGTCACTCACAGAACAGCTTCAGAAAAAAACAGTGAGGTTTTCAGGAAGTCTGAGTTGGAGGCAGAGGTGAGTGGGAGTCAGGCAGAGTCCAGAAAATCCAATCTGAAGGTCCAGGCACCAAGTTTGGGAAGAGAAGAGGTGAGCAGAGTAAGCAAAAGAACCAGAAGGAGGTCTGAAGGGTAAAGCAATAAAGACAGGAATATTCTATTTGGCAATGAAAACAGCCAGACGGAGCTGGGTTCAAATCCTGACTCTGGGGCTTCTAGTTGTGTGACATTGGGGAAGCTCCTTAATGTCTGAGAGCCTGTGTCTGCTTTCATGTGAAAGGCGCATGAGAATAGTCCCTACCTCATAGGGTTAAGGCTGAAGATAGAAATTTGCCCATCAACAGAGGTAAGTTGTACTTAACTCCATGAGATTGGCTGGAATATACCTCTGAGATGAGGGCAGAGAAGAGGAGAGTCCTAAGAATGAGCCCTGGGCCAGAGGGGAGGGGAGTCCTAAGAATGAGCCCTGGGCCAGAGGGGAGGAGAGTCCTAAGAATGAGCCCTGGGCCAGGTACGTGCTGGTAGAAGTCCGATAAGGAGAAGAATTTGGCCCTTGGGTTGGGCAACATGGAGATTATCATTGATGTTGACCTCAAAGTTTCGGTGGAGAGCTAAGGACATTAGCTGGAGGGGAGTAATTGAGAAATAAGCTGGCTGGGGTGGGGGCATAGAGACCACAGCAATACACAAACTCTTTCAAAAGGTTTCCCTGTGAGGGGAAGCAGGGAAGTGGAGTGGGGCTGAAGAAAGGGGTCAGGGAAGTGTTCTTATTGGTGTGAGAGGAGAGAAGCACGGCTAAGACTGGGCTCACGCTTCATTCTCCCACCGATAGGGCATGACTTGTGGAAGCCACTTAACTTGGCTGTTTCATCTGTGAATTGGGTGCTCACAGGACTGCTCAGCTTGAGGATCAAGAGAGCTAATAAGGTACATGGGAGACCACACTGTGTGGACTGAACTGTCAGGCAAACCAAGTGCATGGTTGTGAGCAGAGGCGGCTGGGCTCCCCCCAGCCCCGCAGTCACACCGTGGAGAGAGCTATCTGTTCATAAGCAGATCAAGCTTTGGAAAAGTAAAATTTGAATTAGGGAACCCATCCTGCCCACGTCCCATTTGGAGCTTCCACTGTGCTCTGTCTCTGGCTGAGGTTTTGCCTTTGCCCTTCCCATTCCCGTTCTACCTGGGAAGACCCCACTTGAGCCCCGGCTCCTCGTAACTGAAGTCCTCTCTGACTGCTAGAGCCCAGGTTCCCTTCACCACAGTGCCCAGAGTGTCCACACATGCGGGCCAGCCCAGCTCTCAAAGTGCTTCTTGTAGTTTTCTGACAGCAGGGACCATGCCTTTTCCCCTTGGGTCCCCCATCGGCTACCAAAAGGGCCTGGTGGCAGATAGAAATGTGGATGGTGTAACATGGCCTCCCAGTCTCAGCAGTTGCCAAGTATTAATATTAGTCTCCCTCCTTCACCCATCTTCCTGCCGGCTGGCCTCAGTTGTCTCACAAAGAGCAGTGCCTATGTCCATTTTTGGGAAACTATTTAATAAATACTTTGCTTTCTTTCCGTCGGGGTGACCCATGGTGGATCCCCAAGAAACACAAGCCACCAGCAGTAGTAGGATCAGAATACTTTAATAAGATATCAGTGTCAAAATACATTTCCTTATAAAGTTAAGCTCCCATACAGTAATAATGTCAGTAGGAATTCAACAAAATAGTAACGTACATGAAGTCGTTAAGTTGACAAGTAAAGTTAATATTGAAGCTTGGAAGATTTTTCAGAGTGTTTTAGTAAAACGGTAGGGTGAAATCCCCTTAATGCTGAGGCAGTGCACACAGGACCCACCACCAGCACTGACCTGGCAGTCACCGTCAGGCCCTGTCACCCGTCGCGTGGGGACAAAGCTGTGGTGCTTAAGTATGACTTGGGCAACACAATGAATAGATACTTTTCCTCATATAACTTAGATTTCTTTTGAAATTTAAATTTGGTGTTGTTTTTGGCAATAAGTCTATCCAGGCTTACCCAGTTCTTGGCCTGTTGTGCTTTAGGTGTATATGTCTAGAAACTTCATTGTACCCAAGCTAGATAAGTTCTATGTGATTGGTATTTAGAAACTGAAGGTATAGTTCCTCTTACCCAGTGAGTTAAAGTGCTCTGAGAACACTCCATTTCCAGTGCTTCCTACCTATACAGGTCACTTCAAGTGACAGACAGACCTCGGGGGGCCTGAGGCTGGGCTGCCCGAGGCTGCCTGCCGTCGCAGCGGGGCGCTGCACCTCGGGCGGGGTGATCTGAGGGCGCCCGGGGCGCCGGGCCGCGCTGCTCGGCACAGCTGCCCCCACGTTCTGCACCCGCTCGGTCCAGCTCCATGTGCTCTGCGGTGGTAAGCTGGGAGGACATGGGCTGGGTCACTGCCCCGTTCCTGAATCCTTCCTTTCTCTCATGAATTCCCATCTAAACCATCTCACGGTAGTTCTGGAAATATCCAAATGTGCCACGTGAAAGCCCAGTAGAGTCACATAGCTCAGTGCACTTGAAGGGCTAGCAACAAGACCTTAAGAAAAGTTAAAGCACTTCCTGTCCCTTAGATTGGCCCACTCCCACACCCCTACCCCATGATGTGCCATCAGACCCTCTTGGCAGCAATAAAAATATATACATACATACATAATACATATAGAACATGAGGAAAAGACAGCTTGCAACGCTCCCGCTTAATGATTCCACTCCTTAGATTGTTTGTCACCCTATGGCAGACCCCAAAGCAAAAGCCCCCAGAGGACCCTTGAGCAGTGTCAGCACAGGCCCGTGGGAGCGCCGTGCAGTTCTGCAGTGCCAGCAGGAAGAAGGAAATGACCAGCCTGGAAAAGATCTTAAAGTGATTTTGTGAGCAGGATTCCATTTCCGTTTCTAAGTTTTTAGATATTACAAAGTACCCATATATATGATAAACACTTAACCCAGATATAAATTTAAAAAAAGCTCAGTTAATGGTTTTGAATAATAATAATTAAAAAACAATCCACCGAATGCGGGGGGTGGGAAACACCAAACAGTTTAGGAAAAGCCTCACTGTACAACTTTCACGGATAAGCACATACACTGGAGTTCACCCTTCACATTTCTTTTTTTTTTTCCCCAAAAGTCATCAAAATTAGAGCAAAGAGTTGTCTTTTAAAAAAAGGCTAAAATTTACAATATGGTGATTAGTTTTAAAAAAGAAAAGAGAAGGGCCATGAGAGGGCAAGGCCACAAATCAAGCTTGGAAAACAAAATTATTTTGTTTCTCTTTGGCAACAACAACAAAATCTTTTTAGTTCAGTGAAGCCAAAGCTTTCCCTACAGTAGAACAAACATACACCCAACTTGTTAGTATGAATATTGTGTGTGCATAAGAGAGGCCTATGGATAATATAAATTATAAGTAATTGAAGTTGGGGAAAAATCTTACAAAATTTAAGAACATTTTGATTGACAGAGTAAAACAGCAGGTAAAACAACTGTGTATTTCAAAAATATGGATAATTACGTGTCTTCAGAAAAAGGCCATTACTTGGTAACCTGGGCAAGTCTGCCAGGTAAGTACATCTTGTAAAAAGTGTGTTGGTGTTAGAGATACCTAGTTGCAAAAATAGATGTAGAGAGTGAAGGTGGCAGATGGCATGGCAGGGATGCCAGCCCCGGCCGAAGGCCCTGGTTCAGGTGGCCTGGTCCAGGGCTCTGAGAAGGTCCCCTCCTTGCAGGAGCGTGGAGCTTCCTGGCACGGGAACATTCACCTCGCAGTCATATCTGGTCAACTCGGGCAGCAGGTAGGGCTCAAACGAGGGCCCGAGCAGCCGGCTTGCCATACCTGAAAGAACGGTTGGTACCATATTTTAAAAACTAAATCGAACATTCAGTAAAGGCTCTGCTCCGTAAGAGGCAAGCAGGGATGAAGACACGTGTGGAGAGCTAGAGGCATTTCCAGTTCTCATGACTAGGGGGTCCTGGTGGGGCAGCCCTAATTTCTCCGTTTCTCCAATGTCGTCTTACATGGGTGACCTACTGCGTGTGGTAGGGTGGGGCCCTTCATCGAGCCCCTTTATGGAGGCTTCCACTTTCCTTTGGCTTGTGTGCAGCGCCCCTGCCCAGGGCCCTCTTTCTCCCAGCCCCTTCCCATGGTCCACGCCACCTCGCCCACTCGCCCTCACCCCCTCGTGGGCCGGCAGGGCCCGCCCTCTCTGAACCCCCAGTAGCAATGGACACTAGCTCACGCTCGCCTTCTATTCCCCCTTCTTTTGCGTACCTCCCCCTGGTTTCTAAGGCTCAAGGAAACGTCTGGGTTCACAGCAGGAATAACAATTCGGGTTATTATTTACTGAATGCAAACCTCTCACTTAAAGGTGGGGCTGGGAAATGGCACAGCTGGAATTTAAGCCCAGGGCTGTGGGTGGCTCAGAAGCCTCGATTCTGATGCACTGAACAGCAATTTGCCCCAAACCATATCGCTGAGGAAATGGCCCCCTTTCAGGGCAGGGGTCTGGTATGTTCCACCACAACCTCGAACTGTGTTTATGAGACCTTTTCGTGACATCTACGTTTTGCAAGATGGTAACAGACTAATGAGGCCCGGGATAGAAGGCGGCCAGGTGACTAAGCCTCCGGAAGGTCCAGCAGGGTGACTTTCCCAGAGCCGCCCTCCCCCAGCAGCATGTTCTCCTTGCACGTCCTCTGCTCAGCTCCCACCTGAACTCAGTGATGCCCCAGGGGGTCAACAGCGCATTGGGCAATTTGATAACATTAAGAACTGAGTAAAAGACACAAGCCCAAGGACTGTCTGGATCAAAGGAGCCCTGGATGTCACCTGATTGTTGGAAGGTCCCTTCAAAGCCCTGTAGACAGATGGCCTTCCAGCCCCTGCTGCAATTCTTCTGGGGAGGAGGGCTCACCCCTCCTAAGATAGCAGCCTTTCACGGCAGCAAGTTCACCCTCGTACTGAGCTCAGACCTGTCAGCCTGTGACGCCCATCCCCTGGCCCTCCCCCTGCCCCTCCCACACACTTCAGACCCTGGCACGGAGGCTCTGGTCCCTGAGTGCGCCCACCTGCCGCCTTCTGAGCCGATGGCAGGCTGTAGTCCTGGTACTGAAAAGCGCAACACTGCGGGGCGAAACTGCTCTTGGCGTTCTCCTCGGGGCCCATGGCCGACGGTGGCTGTGGTGGTGGCAGGTGTCTCAGAGGCTGACTAGAGCCACTGATGGGGTTTTGGGTGAACTCATCTGAAAGATCAATGTTGGAGAGTGAGGGCAGTGCCAACCTGAGGGAGGGGAGAGACTGCAAAGCCCCCCACATCCTCCCTCCTTTCCAGCCCCTCTAGCGCCTGGGGCCTTGAAGCCCAGAGATTTCTGAGGGTGTTGTTTGAGCCCGAGTGGAAAGGGGACGCTGGGTGTGTGGAAGGTGGGTGGTGAGGGAGTGGAAGAACCAAGGTGGGTCGCTGAGCCCCCAGCCCTTCCACCTGCAATCACTCCAGCCCAACCCCAGGAGGGCCAGCCTGCTGCTCACCCCTGGGGACATTCGCACTCAGCTGCTGGTCAGGCATCGAAGGGTAGTTCCCACAGTCCCTGAGGCTCTTCATTCTTTTCCACATCAAATGTGAAGGGGTGCTTCCTGGAGGGTCCCCCTGGGTGTGGGAGGGCAGAGAACCAGGTCCTCAAGCTGAGTCAGGGAGAGTGGGCTCAGAGCAGCTGGGCCCAGAGCAGGGCTGGCGCTCCGGCTCTCTGAGAGGCCACGTCCCCCCCCCTCCCTGCTGCCCTGGCCGGCACCCTGAGCCTCACAGAGCATGAGAGCCCCCTGCCAGCCTGGATCTCTGCGCTCAGCCCCGGTCCCCGCCCAGCCTGCCCCAGGGCTGTGGGGGGAACCCAAGGCTGCCCCAGTCAGGAGGTGGCTCACCCCACTCATGTCTTGGAAGGCTTCCTCGTCATACTCCAGCTGTCGCTTCAGCTTCAGCTTGTTGGAGAGGGCTACCATGGCCGGGCTCATCGCATCCGGGGCCTGAGGCCTGAAGCCCGAGAGAGGGGCTCGTGAGGGAGTCTGGAGCCACACACCACCCAGTGCCTTCGTCTCAGCCCCAGCCCTTCAGAGGGTCCTTCCAGAACTACTACTGACCGCGGTGGCTCTAAGACCCATAGGGCAGAGTTTCAAGGAAGGGTGTGGGCCTCGGGGCCTGAGCTACAGCTCCACTGCCCTTCCTCAGTCTCTTCCACCTGCTGAGATGCTACCAGTTCGAGTTACCTGCGCCTGCCCAGCTGCACCCAGGCAGCCTCCAGGCCTGACCTGGTTTGCAGCTGCTCTGCTAGGTGACATCAGTCTTTAGCAGGGTTTCTTCTGCCCCATCTCGCCCTGCCTGAACTGCTCCCACCCAGGGACTGGTGAGGCTGCTCCCTCAAGGGCATGTACCCTGGGAGGTGAAGGTCATCTACCCACCATGTGCCTCAGCCTAGTGAGCTCCCAGCTGGTTGAAATGGAGCTTGGGGGAGATTTGAAGGAGCTGGGAGAAGGCAGGACAGGGAGGGCAATGCTGGGCAGCCGAAAGGCAGGGATTTGAAATGCAGGGGCATCTTTTTACTTTTATCAACCAGGGTTCCATTAGGGAACTGAGAAAATCACTCAGATAACTTTTTGTGTTCTGTCGCTTAGATAATGAATTCTAGGTAAGTGGGGTGCTCTAGAGGTGCTCTAGGGGTACCCTGATGGGAGAGACATTGGTGTTCAAGGCCTGGACAAGCTACTTCTGTCCCTTTTCCTTTCCTCAGTCTCCTCGGTGCCCTGATGAAAACATTCCCAGACTTCAGGGTGACCCTTATAGCCTCGGCTCTTGGAGTTCAGGGCAGGGCTAACTGGAAGATCGGCCACTGTGGAGTGGGAGTTGGTGATGGGACAGGGAATCTTTCCGGGCCCCAGATCTCCCTCTAGTGGATGCCCATCTGTTCCCCCCCTTTTTCGGGCAGCCTTTGCTGAAGCAGCCAAGGGTCATGCCACTTACCTCTTCTTGAACATGGAGAGAGGCGGCAAGGTGACTGGGGTCCCCAACGGTGATGCCCCCAAGGCCTCGGCATGCTGATCTCCACCAGCCCACTTTGTGGGCGTGAAATGGAATGGTGGGTCGGGGGGCCACTGTGTGTCGAATCTACCCCCCAAGGAAGAGAGAGGGGTGCTGGCCTGGCCACAGCACGATGGCAGGGACACCTTGCTCCCACCATCAAAAAAGAGGGAGGACATGGGCTGGTGCTCGGGCTCTATCTTCTTGCTCTCCAGCTGCTGCTGATACTTGTCCAGGAGGAAGGGGCCGTGAGAGGCCATGGGCGCCAGTGGCTGGAAGATGTTCATCATGGTGCTGAAGCAGTGCTGGGGGACGAACTGAGGGTTCTCGGGCGCGAGCTTCTCCTCGGGGCAGATGGGACTCAGCTGGAAGTCTTCCCCGTCCATGGGGATGTAGGGCGCCAGTGTCTCCAAGTCCAGCTCATTGAAATCCAGCTGAGGAGACAGAGCAAAGGCAGAGAGGCTCAGCAGTTGCTGCCGCCTCCCACACTCTCCCATCTCAGCCCATCCTCCCCCCCAGAGTCAATCTTAGGCACCATTTGACAGCGGCACTCTCCTGCTCTAACTCCTTTCTTGGCTCCCTCTGGCCCACCAGAAGGAGAACTCAGACTCTTTTTCTAGACTTTCTGTGCAGTTCATCCCCTCAGCCTGGGCCCCACGTCTCCACACTCCACTCAGACATCCCCTCACCCCCCCACTGGTGTCATTGCCCCGCCCAGCCCAAAATGATCTCCCCTCTCCTTTCTACCTGCCCATACCCTGCCTTCTCTCATGTGACCCGGGCAAGCGCGCCTCTTCCACAAAGCATCCCTGCCTACTCTGGCCCACAGTGACTGCCCCGTCCCTGTCCTCATGGGACACGTAGGACTGTGGTGCAGACAGCGGCTCCCGGAGAGGCAGGGGCCGCTTTTCCTCCTCTTCCTCATGTGCCCTGGCACAGGCCTAGACACACAGTCAGTGCCAGGCACATCTGTATGCTCAGAGAGAGCCAGCCCCAGGAGGGACTTGCATTCCAACCAGCAAGTCCTCAGAGACGGCCCTTAGGTCCCAGTGTCATGCTGGGCACCAAAGGGAATGCTCACAAGCAGATGCAGAAAAAGTTCCTACCTTTAGAGAATGCCACCTCACTGGGGGGGGCGCCGCTTAATGTATTAGTGATTACAACTAAAGAAAATGGTTAAAGACAGCGGACAGTTATGCCTGGGTACCAGCTAATGACTCCTACTGGAGTTCAGAGGAGAGAGAAGGGAGGGCCGAGAGTGAAGGGCAGGAATAGGGAAAGTTTGGCAGAATGGCTGGAACTGGTGCCAGGCAAGATAGAGATACAAGCTGAGGAGCAAGGTAGAAATCTGAATAACCTAGGTTAGGACAATGGCAATTAATGATTTTCCTTTGGGTTTCATGAAACATGCACCCATCCACCCACCTCAGTCCTGTTTACACAGTTTGTGCAAGAGCATTTGGCCTATGCAATAAATGCTTTCCAGAAAAGTTACAGGAAAATGAAAATTTATGAATCAGGTATTTTAAAATGCATTTGAAATAAAATAGTATTTCAAAGACTCCTAAGATGATTAAGTTTGTGAGGTAGTAATTGTTCGCTTTGCTGGATGTACTTTTTAAATGTTGGGCTTCCTTAAAGAGAGGTTCAGTCTTAGGTGTGGTCTTCATGTACATTGATAAAGCTCTCTTGGTAAGTAGGAGACAGAGTGAGAGTTAAAAGTGGAAGAGCTGGGTGTGACACAGGTAAAGCAGAGGGCAGAAGTGGGAGAGGGGACCTGCACAGGTTTGACTTCCCTGCACCCTCAGGCAGTGAGGGACCATGGCTTTGGCCAAGTGTCTCCACTCCCTGCCAGACAGACGTGAGCCTTCATCACCATCAGCTGGCAGGCACGGTGCACCATGCTAATCTTCTCCATGGCCGCCTACCTGGGTGCCACACTGGTCCTTTGCCTCTGTATCCATGGCAAAGAGTTTCTCAATCACTTCCATCTTCAGATCATCATTCAGAGACGTGTAATAGTCCTCAGGGCTGCTGGGCTGGGGGCCAGGAAGGACAGTGACTATGTTAAGGGTATGACACTGGTCTCCCCAAAATCCACAGTAGAAGGAGAAATACATTCTTGGGCCCACAGATCAACTCCATTCCACTCAACAAGTACTTGTAGAGAGGCCCTCCCTACAAGCTATATGAATGAGATCAATTCATCAACCTCTCTGAACCTCGGTCGTCTCCTCATAAAATGAGCCTGTCTAAGGAGCAGATGGGATAAAGGTCGTGGCCAGCCGGGCCCTGGAGACTACAGCTCTATGCCCTGAGCAGGGACAGAGCTGGGGGCTCAAAACTGTGTGACTGAGCCTCTGCCTTCCAGGAACGTATCATTTAGATAGGGGTGGGGATTCAAGCCAACAGCTCAAATACCTGGCAGGTATGTGTCACCACCCCTCTAGGGGACTCCAGGATAACTTGAACAGGAGGAAGGCAGTATTTCTGTCCAGACTGACCAGCCATTGGGCAGTGACCAGAAGGAGAAGCCCACCCTTTCCATGGCCTCACTACAAGGGGGCTCACCGTGGAGCAGCTGCTGCTGCTGGTGGCACTGGGGCTGGTGTTCCCTGGGGCAGCCACCTGGGGCATGGTAAAGGCGGGCAGGCTCCCGGCCTCATTCTGGGCAATGTGGCTCCTCAACTCCTCAGCCCAGGGCTGGTTGGGGGCCAGGATGGTCTCACCAAAGGCTGATGACTCCTCAAAGTTCTGGTTCCCTGTGGAGACAAGGATCTGGCTTGGTTAACACCCACAACCTCTGGGCTTTCTCCCAGGGCAGAGAAAGCGCACAGGATGCACAAGAAATTCCTACAGGGTCTGGAAATCACGCCTGGGGCTGGGCCCTCAGCAATCAGGTGCTTAGCTGGGACAAAGGGGCCTTTAACTGTGGCTCTGACTCAATGTACAGGCTCCCTTTCAAGAGAACACCCTCCTGGAGCATTTAAGTTTGAGAGACTAAGTGTATTAGGTAGGAGAGGCTCTTCGTTGAAGAGCAATCAGAATGTAGATGAGGTTATGAGAGGAGAGTTGGGCAGTTTGCCTCAGTACTCCCGCGAAAAGGGAAAGCTGCAAGACTTCTCCTCCCAGCCCTGTCATCTCTGCTCCTCTAAAGTTGCTGTTCTCTTGTGGCCTCTCAAGAACACAGCAAAAGGGGCAGAGACAGTCCATGGCAAGCACAGGAGCTGTCCCCATTCCTTCAGCAGCCATGGCAAGGCTGCGGGTCCCACACTGGGGAGGAGGGGGCCCCAGATACACATTGAAGTGCTTCCAGCAAGGGAGCGGGGAGGGCCTACCAACTCTGTGGCTACAAAGACAGTCCCTGTGGGACAGGCACATGTTTTAAAAAAGTAGTGCCTATGGGGCTAAATCTGGGCCTGAATCTTTTCTCCACCTATGTTTCTGGAGTCATTTCTCCCAACATTATTTCAGTTGAGCCCTCTGCCTGAAAAGCAATTTGTTCTTCAAGGCCCAGTAGAGAGCCGTCTCCGTGAAACCGTGCCAGCGGCCTTGGAGCAGGTGCCCCTCTCTCATCTCAGGCCCCTGCCCCCGTGGTAGAGATGGGACTCCTTAAGGGGCCCTCCACAGCCCTCCTGGCTCCGCACTCTGCGAGGTCAGCGGTAGTGCAGTCCTACTGTGTGGTGGCAGGTGCACGCGCTGTTCTTTTGCGCCCAGCACAGAGTCTAGCCACTAACAGATGATTAATGAGACTCAGGGAAGGAACAGGGGTGTCCCTGGTTAAGGAAAAGCTGTAGCCAGGGAGGCCTGTTGTGGTAATAACATCCCCACCCCAAGAGAGTTTAGTGACCCCCAGCTCAGCTGAGAAGCACCCACCGAAATCCAGAGAAATGATGGCATCCCCTGCAGTGGGCGCCAGCTGGGCCAGCTCCTCCGGCTCCTCCTTCAGCTTGGTGAACAGGAAGTGGCTCTTCTCAGACACAGCCACCTCGCCACTGCTCTCGAAGATGCTGTTCATGCCAGTCAGGTGCGGCTTGAACAGGGACTCAGTCTGGTCCATGGAGAACACCACGTCGTTCTTCTCAATTTCACTGAGGGGACAGGAGGGCGCTTTAGACCTTCCATTTCCTAGCAAAATCCTTTTCCCCAGACGCAGGGACACCCTGATGGCGAAGCCTCTCAGCCAAACACGTGGGTGTGCACACTGTGTTGTCACTTTACAAAGACCCACAGAATGGAAGTTTGGAGTTGAGGTAGCAACGTGGAGAGTGCTCTTGGACTAGGTCTGTATTGGATGCTGTTTTAGGATGAGACACTGCATGGTGTGCAGGGTTCGAAGGTTTCTGTTTGTTTCACTCTAGCAATTACTTTATCCGGCTTTCTCCCCGGGTACTGTAGAGTGAAGGTGTTGCATCTTTTCTCAAAACACACTAGTGTTTTTCCCCAGTCACAAAATACTTAAGTGATAACTTAGCTCCATCTGCCTCCGGACATGGGTCAGAGGAAGGACATAGATGACAGACCAGGGAAAGGGGCAGAAAAAGCACTGGAAAGGCGGAATCCCAAGTGTCCCACTGCTCCTGGGACATCCACGGAAGTCCTCTGGGTCATAAGGTTCAGCACCACAAAGAGCACACAGAGACCTTCAGAGAGGCCAGGCTCCTTGGGCTTGCCATCCTCAGTCTGGGGAGCTCGGGTCCCCCGGCACCCTGTCCCCCACGGGCCTCACACGCTCACCTCAGGACGTAGTTCACACACATGATGCACTGGGGCTGCAGGTTGCGTGGGTTGTAGATGACTGTCCCCTGCGTCTCCAGCCATACGTAGCCCCCATGCTTCGCCAGCATCCGGTATTGGCCACTCACCACCTGACCTTTGGTGCACACTACAGGAGGAGAAAGGGAGCCTGAGGTCAAGGAGGTAGGGGGTGGAGGCCCCACGCGAGGGCAGCCCGCGGGGAAACGGAAGGACTAGGCATCAGACCATGAAGACTGGAGTTGAGAGATCATTTCGCCCAACTCTTCATATTAAATACGGGGAAAGGAGGGCCAGAGGGGTTAAATGACTTGCCCAAGGCTGTCCGTGCCAGGAAATGGCCCATTGCCAATCCCTTAACAAGTCCGCTCACCCACACTGGCTCTGCCCTACTTCCCCCTCAGGGTTCAGTGACAGGAAGCCTCCACAGGGCACCAGGGGGCCCCTCCTCTGTCAAGCACTCCAGGTTGGGGTGGGTACTTGCAAGCAGTGTGGAGAAAGCCTATCCTCAGGGCAGACCTTTGTAGCAGACCCGCCACCAATACTAAGCTTGTGAATAAATGCAGTTATTATGAAATGATATCCTTGATTGTTCCAGGTCATCTGTCAAGCCTCTCACCATAGGGCCACAGAGGGTTTGTGACCATAGCAAAAGCAGAGGTAAGGGGCTGAGGCTGAAGAAGGGCTGGGCCCCCAGCAGCCTACACTCAGCCTCTTCAAAACCGTAAGTCCTTCCCATTCCTCCTCCCCTTGGCTGCCCAGCGAGGCTGGCTGCTTATGACTGCCTCCCAGTCCCAGATTGTTCTAGATGTTCACTTAACAAGCACCTCGAAGGTGCAGGAAATACCATAACTTGCATGTGTACAGTGCTTTGTAGTGTTCAAGAATATCTCATAAGAAGAATTCACTTCTGCAAAGCAATTATAACAGTACCTGTCCATAAAGCGTCAATAAGGAGTTTAAGTCTTGTCATCACCTCATTTAGGACACAGTAACACCACGAGGAATCTATTACTATTCCTGTTTTACATCTGAAGAAACCGAGGCTTGAAATTATCGAGTGGTTTGCTGAAAGCCCCCTCAGTGGAAACAGTAGATAAAATTATAGTCCAAATGAAAGACTCCTAGTCTAAGCTTGTTTTTGTTTAAAGTTGACTTGGGTGAGGTTTAATTTACCGTCAGTTAACAAATGCACCCATTGAAGCATATAGTTCAATGAGTTTTGACAAATGTACACACCTTTGTAATTATCACCACAATCAAAGGTATGGTGACTTTTCCATCATTTCCCTCCATCAAAAAAAATCCTTGTGCCTCTTGACAGTAGTCAATCCCCATTCCAACCCCTGGTCCCAGGCAACCCCTGATGTGTTTTCTGTCACTAAATATTGAAATGCTCTCTTCTCTGTTTTCATACAAGTGGAATCATACAATAGTATGTACTCTTTTGTGTCTGGCTTCTTTGCACTCAGTGTTTTTCAGATTCCTCATGTTGTTGCAGGTATTTGGAGTTTGTTCCTTTTCATTGCTGAGTAGTGTTCCATTATATGGATGTACCATAATTAGCGTATCCATTCACCTGTCAATGGATGTGTGAGTTGTTTTCAGTGTTCGGTTATTATGAATACAGTTGCTATAAACATTTGTGTACAATTGTTTGTACAGACATACTCTTCATTTCTTATGGGTGTAGCTAGGAGTGCAATGTCTGGGTCATATACTAAGTATATATTTACTTTATAAGAAGCTGTCAGACTATTTTCCTAAGTGGTTGAATCATCCTAGTCTAATCTTTTTTAAAAAATCCTGTGCTGTAGGGAAGATAGAGATAATCTTCTTTTAACATGAGGAAACTAAGGCCAGAGGATTGTGACCTGCTTGACCTCCCCTGGGACAATTGCGACTCTGCACTGGACGATGGTCTTGTGCTCCTAGTCTGGCACTCTCTCACTACTTCCCCTGAGCCACAATCCACTGGGAAATCTAAACTTGCTGTTGCCCCTGTCCTGAACTGTCGTGGACTCTTCACCCCAAGAAATAGCTTCTGTCCTCCCTGGTTTCACTTTATCTGTACCACTGAGGCTCCCCTGCTGCAGCGAAATGATTCTTGCACAATTTCAAGTGGCTGCAGTTAACTTATTTAGACGGTTCTTAATGCAGACAAAATTCAGGGCTCTTATTCTTGATTAAACAGCGCAGCGAGCAAAGGTTTTAACTGCATTTCTAGCGATTGCAGGCGAGGGCCTGCTCTGTCAGTAGAATATAATTACGCCTGCCTTCTAATCATCTGCTCATTAGTGCCAGCCTTGGTGAGGGGCCTGCTACTTGGTAGATAGGCTTTTTATGACCTTTAATCTTGTTTTCCTAAGAGCACATAATGTCCTCACACAACAAAGAGAAACCAATCCCCCCAACCCCTCCCCTCTGAGAGTAACAATGTATAAATTACTAATCCATTTGGAAATGATGGCTTTCAATTATCTGAATCTGGTTTGAAGGCTGAGCTTCCCCAGCAATTTCAGCCGTGAATGTTCACAGGCTAAGACATATACGTGCGGAAATTCGGGAGGCTGGTGTGTCAACGTGGACCGGCCTCAAACCTGGGCCTCCAGCTATTTCACAGTATGAGTGTGGGTCTGTGGTGCAACCGTATTTGCACAAACCCAATGAGAGAGAGAAGGGGGGTGAGGAGGGAGGGAGAGAGAAAGACTGATTTCGGTTTTAGCCAGCATTACCCCAATTTCTAACCCATGCAGATTTTCCTTTGCTGGGCTTAGGCTTGCTGGCTAGGTACAGGCTTCTGAGCACAGAGCAGCTTTACTTGGTTCCACCAGGGGAAGAAGGCAGCCTGTGATTTCCATTTGGGCTGTGAATTACCTTTAAGTGCGCCTAATGCTTAAATACACAGATTCAATAAAAAGTACCATGTTTTCCCTGTAGTCAGCAGAAAACTGATGTGACAAATGATTATCCCAGCTCTTTTTTTATGAATCTGAGCTTTTCGAAGAAGAAAGTAAAAAAAAAAAAAAAAAAAAAAAAAATTCCCTCCTTATATGCCTAGAGAGAAGTCATCATTTTTGTTCCCTTGGACAGTAGTTTCTTTCCTCTACTTTCCCACCCTAGAAAATAAAGTATAATACTGTCTGCCAAGAATTCCCAGAAACTCTCATGTTTGCCCCCTGCTATGACTTCACCCTTGGCTGATGAGAGAGGCTGGACTTTCCCCCGATTTTACATCTATAGGAGGGAAGGCCCAGAAAGCCTGGCCCCAGGGAATCCATGGGGCAGCTGGGCCAGAGCCCAGTTCCCTGAGTCCCAGTGTCAGGAACAGTCACGGACCAGAAAGTTATGGGGAACCCCAAAGTGAAGGCTGGAATCACATCCTACAGTTTCAGAGCTGGGGCGGGCTAGGGCCGGATCACCCCCATCCTTGTGGGCTGGGCACACAGAGCGCCTGCACCTCCCTCCGCCAACCCTGGGTCCATAAATGGGGCTGAGTTTAGGTCACTTGTTTATTTATTTGCTGGACAGCAGAGTGAGAAACTTCTCTGCGATATAAAGGGCCCTGCTTCACTGTCAGATCAAACCCAAAAGCCACGAGGAAGCAGCAGAGAAACCCAACTGGAAAGAGAAGACCTCATCCTATAAGAGAAAATTATTGACTGTGCTCAGATACTGCTTATGGGGTTGCTGGCCTGTTAGCTGCTCCGAACTTCAGCTATCCGACCTTGGGATAGATGGACGGATTTAGGAACAACGGACAAATAACTATACTTCCATTGTCTTCATGGCCACTCCAAGCCACAGCTGATCCTGGGAGTTCAGGACCAGCAGAGCCACTGGGAATCTTTTCAGACCTACCCATTTCCAATCCTGTAATCCTCTCGGCACCTCTGTCTGCACCTCTGTGGGCACTTATTTTGAAGTATTCTTTTCCAAACGTGTTTTAGACCTTCGGGTTTATCATTCATTTAGTGCCTGTACTGTATCTAACAGTAGGCTAGATACTGTGGCTAAAGGTATGAGCCACCTGGCTCCCTCAGAGCCCCCAGCCATCCTTTTTCCTCAGAAATGAGATTCCTTAGGGCAGGGATCAATGCCATCAATATCTATCTTCCTCAGTGGACCGAGCATAGGGTTACAAACCCAGAGTCCTTGCATGTTGATGGGTTGCATGGACTCAAGAAAATTGTCTTGGATCACCTGAAAATGGGAAACCTGAACTGGGATATGGCCAGGTGAATGCACTAGAACTGCCCTGTCCAATATGGTAGCCACTGACCAAGTGTAGCTATTTAAATTTAATTAAGTTTATATTAAAAAATTCAGCTCCTCAGTTGCACTAGACATATTTCAGGTACGGCACAGGTCACCTGTGGATATAGAGCATTTTCACGGTGGAAAATTCTACTGGACAGTCCTGCTCCAGAATCTTTTCATGACTGGTTTCTTCAAGCTGCGGAGCACAGTTTCCATCGGCCATCACTGGGCTGCCTGACAGTCTCCTCCAACCGAACTCTCTTGACCCAGCACGCAAGCTCTCAGAGAGCCATGGCCTACCTCACACACCTGTCAAGTTTGTGTCCTGCCCCCTTCCCTCTGTCCTTCAAGGAGTTTGACTCAGGCATCCTGTCCTGTCCTGTCCTCCCCTGAGCTTCCCAGCCCTCCCCTTTTCTGAATGCATGTACTTGCTTCTGTAGCACATAACCCAGGGTGGTTGCATGGAGTCTTGTGCGGCTCACTACGATGTTCCACAGGGCTGTGCAGACCGTGGAGATGGTATGTGGGGGCTGAGATCCAGCCCACCTTCTACTCTCTGAGCGCGGGGCTTGGTGTGGGTGTGTTCCCTGGAGGAAGGGTCCCTTTTTCTCCTTTGCTTGAAGGTGTCATATAGGCGGCCTTGGTTCCCTAACCATCCTGAGGGTTGGGTCTTTCTGCTGCCCAAGACAGTGGTTCTGGGAGGGAAGTGACCAGGTCTTCTCTTGCCTCACCAGTCATACCCACTCAAGGCCAAATTCCACAGACACAAGGGAGCCACACAGGGCACTCCAGGAACTTACGGTTCTGGTGACTTTTGGTCATGTTCTCTGAGTCCAGTGCATGGTAGAACTCATAGGCTGAGCGGCCAAGCAGCTCCTCTGGGTGGTAACCAATCAGTTCTGTGATTCTGAATTAAAAAAAGAAATAAGGCATGTGGGGAAGAGAAACCATGCGATTGTGGGCAGGGGCTCAAGGAGCTAAATCCAGAAGGTAAATCAAATGCACACGTTCAGATGGAAACACTACAGGCTTCCTGTTCACACCATTCATGCACACAAAACACATGGTGGTCAACCTGCAACTGTGGTCCACCCAACCCCCACTCTTCCTGCCCTTCCTGCAGTCATGTTTGGGGGAGGAAGGAAAAGCAGCTCCTCAGGGGACTCCCTTCCCCCAAGCCCTAATATACACTTATGCCTAGTCTCCAACAACCATGGGAGGGGCTCTCACAAATCCCCCAGTTTTTGCAGATATGGGAGTAGAGATCCAGGGAGGGCAGACAATTCACTGATGTCCACACATGTGTCCCGGGACAGAGCAAGAATGACAAGGGCCTCCTGATTACTAGATTGAGCTTATTTTAGTAAAGGGTGATATAAATGAAAAGTGAAAATCGTGTGGCCCAAGTGGGGAAAGCATGGAGATGACCTTTATCTGTGTGAACCACAGAGTGAGGATGAACCTGGGGCAGGGAGAACCCCAGCTGTGCTTAAAGCTTCACTCCCCTGGGTGCTTCTCATGTCCTGCCTGGTGACCTCAGAGTCCTCTTGGACATGGGGTCTGCCTTCCATGGGTTCTTCTACTTGTCTCTCCCTATTTCCAAGGAAAGGAAGGAGGGCAGGAGGTACTGAGAGGAAGAAATATGAAATTACAGCCATAGAAACGTGCCTTCTCATTACATTCTTCGATAAATGCACAGCTCTGAAATGACAGGGCTCGGCTGTCCTAACTGTCCCTCCCTTCCTCCTGTAAGGTGTCTGTTTCTGATGGGAAGCGGGTCGAGAGAAGGCAAGTATGGAGAACCATGAAGGAACCTTTGCTCTGTGCTGGGGTCATTAAAATAAACCAGTCCTGCCCAAGAACCACCAGATTAGCCACATCCCCACGTTGTACCTAAATGTTATTTTTCGTAACTTTTGTTATCTCACATATTTTTTCTAATGGGCTCATTGTCTCATCAATTTGGCCTATTGTGAGTTAGAAGTGATGCTATTCTCACCATTCCAAGCTGTATTTCAGAATGCATGACTTTTAGGTCTGGCCTTGTCATTTATCTATGTGGGAGCTTAATAATATGGAGAGGAAAGCAGAAGCAGTGTCTCTACTCTCCCCCTCCAAAGGGGTTTGTATCTATCCATCAGAATAAATCATCATAAAATATTACCTCCGTCCTGCCACTCCCCTGTTTAAGCATCTACAGCTTTCCCTAGTTCCAGCCATATCAGGAGTAAATAAACTCTGCCTAACTTCCAAGTCCTCCCAGAACCTAGTCTCCATCTCCTATGCAATTTGGTTTTCAACTAAGCTTCAGCAGGCCTTGTACCCTCGGCCCGGGTGGACCTCTCTCCTCCCAGCTCCCCGTACCTGGTAACCTCATTCTTGCTGCAGAACCTCGATGTCTTCTTTCCCCTCTTCTCTAACTCCTGACTCTTGCAGGGCCAGCTCAAGGCCTCACCTTCTCCATGGAGCCCTGTCCAGTTCCTCCAACCCTTACCAATGCCGCCTCATGAAGTTCTTACAGACAACCACAGTTTCACAGAGAATTATGTATTTGTCCCTCTGCATCCTACCTAGGCTGTTGGCCCCTGAACTCAGGGACCACTTTCTCCTCTGGCCTCCCCCACCTGGGCATATACTTGAGTAGCTGACTGGTGGACTGAGTCTCTCTTGGGACCTAAGATGCAACCAGAGCCCTGTCTGTCCTAGCACTGCTAAGGAATCTGGGCACCGATTCTCTCCTTTTCCTCCTAGAACACAATTAACGGCCTCAATGCATGCTGGTGCCCAGGCACACGCACACACAGCCCTCAGCAGAAACCCTGTGACGTTCAATCCACCCTTTCCTCATTCTGGAAGGTGTGTCCGGTGTTGGCATGGGCAGAGAAGAGGCAAGTTCTCTGCCTAGGTGAGACTTGGGGATTAAAGCCTTTGTCAAACAAGGGACAGCCCAAGAGGGCTGAGAAGCTCAGGCCTCCACTGACTTAGCCCAGAGCAGATTTCTCCAGTGAGATCCCAGGAGCTCTCTTGCGCCAGCCAGCTGGTCTCAGGCCAGGAGGATCTGCCCCCTCACTTGGCCTTGAGGAGAGTCTCTGAACTCATCAGCCATGGACATGTTCCTTGTCACCCTGACCCCGGGGCTGGTGCCCAACGGCACCTTAGCCAAGGTGGAGATTGGGAGAGAACAAGGAGACAGTAGAGCAGTGCTGGCCCTTCCTTTTCTACACCACATATCTTTTTTGTCAGGTCTAGTGCCTTTCTAGCTTCGCCTGGGAGTCAGAATTGTACTGGGGACCCTGCTGACAATGGGCTGGCCATTTATAGGCACACAGATTTGCCAGAAAAGCTGCTTTCCCCGGACAGATCTAGAATTTTAGAGAGACTCTCAAAAATGAGGCTATTCTGGGAAAGATTTGACTACTCCCTGAAGAAGTTCAATTTTCTTTCAAGATTAGAATCTCTAAATTCAAATGTTCAAAGCAAATGTTTGTTATAATCAGCCTCATAATAAAATATGTTTAATCTAATTAATGTCCCATCCATTCAAAGGCACACAATGGGCATGTTTGGAAGTAGACAAACAAACCTAGATTTCAGAACTGCCAGCTATCTTCCCAGTAGCAGCCTTCATTTATCTTGTCAACTAAAATAAATATTTAATGTCTCCTTCATTCCTTTAAACAGACTATAAAAACTGGGAAATACGCACACCCCAAACACAATTGACGAACATTCAAGTTGTCAGGCTTCACAAAGCCAGGAAACCCCAACTTAAAGCTAATGGTCATTCGCCTCCATCTGTAGGCACACAGACGCCAGTGGGGAGGTTGATGAACCCAGCTTGTTTATAGGGTCGCTCCTGCGGCACAGAAGGGCCTCCCCTGCTGATTTCCCGGGGTCCCCACAGCCTCCGGAGCTGGGCTGTGATAACTTTCATCTGCTCTCTCCGCCAGGGGCAGGGAAACTTTTTTTTTCTTTCTAATTAAGAGCCCCTGACTCACTGGGGGAAAAATCAGCTTGGAGTCACCGATACATTTAAAAAGTTGACTCAGTAGGGCTGCTCTGTTCTGAGAGGAGGGCAACGTAAAAGGGCTCAACCTGCGGGGTTTCAGGAGTGAGGCCAGAGGCCAGGCTTTAATGATAAAGTGGGCAGAGAGGCGGCCGGGCGAGGCCACGTGGGCAGGCGGCCACGGGGGCAGAGGAAGGAGGGAGGAAAAGAGAAAACAAAATAGAGGGGGAAATTAAATTCTGAAGTTAGCGTTACCCCAAGTAAATCCGTGGTCAGACCAGCAGGGGCTGGATTTTGGAGTTAGGTAGCTTTGCCTTCGCGATGTAAAATGCCAGCTACTCACTGCTCTTCAGTGGCTCCTTACCCTTAAACATGTTCAGAGGCCCTTTTCAGCGGGGACTACCTGTGACCGGGGGCTGGGAGGAAAACTACTCTCGGCTACGGTGCCGGTGCCATCGCCTCGAGAGGCAGGAGAAGTCCCCGGGGACGGAGTGGCTGCTCCTCTGCCCTGTGACACTGCCAAGCTCCCCGTGGGACATGGCGGAAAGCTCCCGACTCCAGCAGCCGCTGCCTGGAGTCAGACGAGGCCTGGCTGCAGTTTTTATTCCTGTTCCCACACGAGTAAAGGATTTGCTAAGTAAATTAAACCATGTAAACAAGATGGGTAAGAGTATTTAAATTACTAAAGAGGATAGAGTTTTAAGTACTTTATAACCACCTACTTGTTTTTCAAAGAACGTATTTGCTAATAAGCCACACTTCTATTAAATCTGCTTTCTGTCTTCCCACCCACCCTTCCGGCAGCGGCCTCTCCCGGGCAACACTTGGTTCGCTTCATGTTGTTTTTTATAGGTGCATCTCAGCTTTGAAACTGCATTTCCTCATACCCAGACTATTCACTAATTCGGATTTCAATGCCTTCTGTTTTAATATATTTTTATTCTGATTTTGTTTTAAACAATAGTACTTTTAGCCTTGTGCTTCCCTCAAATATTACATGGTTATGTAACATCTATACAACCGCCCTGTAGTCAGTGAGCAATCAGTTCCATCCTGTCAGTGTGATGTGTTAAGGGCCGGGTTAATTTATTCACAGGAAGGTCACCCAGGCTCAGTCCTCGACTGAAGCTGCTCTGAGGGCCACCAAATGCCACGCTGCTCTGAGGGCCACCAAATGCCACGCCTGCCTCTCATTACCTTGGAACCCACACACAGGAAATTCGCCTTGAACTATATAGCAAGAAAATAAGATTGTGTAGAAGGAATACCCTTTGACTTGCGAGGCCTAGTAAACTTTGATATAAATGCCAAAGAGAATTTGTAGAGCTGCCCCTTTTGGGGAGTATCTCTAGTAGACTAGATTAGACGGGATAATAGATTCACATTTCTCATACATATGCTCAGACTCTGTTAGCCTAATTTCAGGACTTTGCAGGAGACACAGATGCACAAGGGGAGCATTTAAAATTTCTTCTAACTCAGGGATTTCAAGAAACACACTATATCCTCTTGTATAAGATGTGTTGAGAAAGGCTAATTAGGGAAAAGGCAAAAATATTTAGAATAGACTATATATTAAACTAAGAAAATTACATGTAGTGTATTAATCTGAAAGATCACCTTGAATTTAAAGATGCCACCCATCTTCTAAAAAAAGTAAAAAATAATACATTAACTGTATCTCAATATGCGTGAAAGTATATAATCTTTCACTATGTGCCTGAATGAGCAGCCTATTTTCTTCCTAGACGTCGGTACTTCTGCCTTCCAGGTGTACTGATGTGTATCTATTTTATAACATGTCTCTTTATAATTTTCTTCAATGACATTCTCTGTATTATCCTCACTGTTATCATCTTTGCTATTCCCACTTCTTTGCATAAAAAAATCATAGATTTGGCCCTCAGAATTTGAAATGCAAGCATCTTATTAAACTTATTTAAGCTTCTGACAGTATTATGCCTTATGCTGCCTTAATTCAAAAACAAAGCAGGACTGCCTCTCACTGCCTACGGAGATTACATGGCCCTCTGTTCATTTCAAATATTTACTGTCATTTTGATGCCTTCCCCCCACTCCCACTCCAGTAATACTGATCCTATCCACGTAATTTGCTTTTATAATTTACTTTTAAGATAGAGGAAGACCCATAAAACTGACAATACCACGGTGGGATTACGAAAAATACAGATTTTGCTGTGCCCTCCTTGACGGTTTGGCTTCCTTCCCAGCTACTCTCTTTCGCCACTAGATGGCATCTCCACCTGAATTGAGGAAGCACCCCATTTTAAAGTTCAACTACTTGGGAACACACTTTGCCTTCCTTTGGGTGCATGGAAGGCTCTATTTTGTACCAGTCACTGTGCTTTCAATAAGTTGCTCATGTATCAAACTGTAAACTCTTCGAGATCAGGAACCATCTCTTTTACCTCCTTACTATAAATGTCTCTGGCGCAGGGTTAGATGCGTAGCAGATGCTCAATAAGTAAGAGTTCATTAATCGGTTGCTCAGTATTTTCGGAAACAGAGTATAAATGAATCCTCAATGACGCTGATAACTGGGACAGTCTTCCTTAGCCTCGCTGCCCGACTCTCCCCGTCTAGAGCGGTGGACCACAGACACATAAATGCGACTGACATATGAACTGTTACAGAATTCACTTTCGAAGCGTTTTCCGTGTTTCAGATAATTCACACAGGACCTAATCTTACTCTAGTCCTCTGGCCCTTTATTAAAAGGAGAGGACAAGCGCGTTTTGAACCCTCAGCGCTCCTTCACTCAGTTTCAGATGTTTCAGGTGGTTTCGGGGTGAATTGATTTTGGAATTCTGAGAGTTAAACACAAGATTGGTGTCCACTTTTCTTTCCTCTTTCCTTTTTTATTTCACTCCACCTTTTCCTCTCTATTCTCCCTTCTTTTTTCCTCCGGGACCCTTTTGCTTGCTTGTTTGATTATGCCCGTGATCTCAGGACATCTAAGAAAAGTACCCAACGGTCTCAAAAGTGACTTTGTGGATTCTGATTGCCTTACATTTTCATCAGATTCTTTCTCATTTTCCTTACGGGAAAATAATTCCCTTTGTGGGAAACCGCAGCCCTTCATGTGTGTTAGATGTCCCTAAATCTAGTGAATTCTACGATTAAAATGGAAAGCCCCCTCCCCCCATTAGCTATCATATCCAAGCTTTGGTTTTGAAACATTGATCTTGGAAGGGTATTGGGGGACGACGACACTCTGAATATCTTTTCCTCACCCCAGTACAAACAATGAAAACCATACAAGCTACCAAAACTAAAAAATAGCAGTCCTCATCAAAGCAACCGAGAAATAACACTTAGGGATTAAGGACTTAAAATAGTCATTTTATAAATGGCCTAAGCCACGTCTGTGCCCTTGTCAACTAATCTGCTAATCGGTTAAACACAACTTCTGTGTAGCACAGCATTTCACGGCTTCACACACCTCTGCGTTCATCGCCCCGGCACCACTGCCTTCAGAGTGTGGGCCATGAAATTAGGTTTCGTGAAAGGCAAGGTTTTGCTTAAAAGTGCAGTGTGTCCAGCAGAACTTACATGCAGTATCACCTCCACACTGAGTCACAAAGCCCGAAACCAGATTCCTTCGCGCCAGGGGGACTCTGCCTACCAGCCCGAGCCCAGCTACCAGTGAGCGCAGGGTCCTCCCCTTTCTGTGCCTCTCCTCTCCGGCCCCTCTCAGGCCGCCAGTTCCTCATGTCCCCCCGCCCTCTTTTATCCAGAGGTGGTTTGCTCTTAGGAAATGACCTGAAATGCATTTAAAACAAGATAATGAATAAAGAATAACTCCGAATTACCCTTTCCAGAGGATTTTTTTTTTCCCTTTACTGTACCAATAATCAAAGTCTTAAGCTTAAAAAAAAAAATCTCATCATTATCGAGGAATGACAAGTTCTTTTCTAGGGCAGCAAGGTTTTCACAGTGCATGTGGGGTGACACTGGGGACGTTCTGCACTCACAGGGGCTACAGGGAGCTTTCACTGTCACGGAGCTGCAGCAGCTCCGCAGCTCTGGCGATGGCTCCGGGGCACCGAGGCACCAGCTCGCTCTGACGCCAGACCTGGGCTCGCAGCAGAATGTCCCTATGCAGAGGGGTTCACGTTAAAAAACTGTCTTCTGCCAAGAATGTTTATTTGAATACAAAGACTCCACCTGATAACTAATCGTACACGCACGTGGATTTCTCTGGTGCCTGCCTTTGGAGCAATCTTTCCCTCTAATCACCACCATCATTACAATAATGACAGTGCCAACAACTGTAATTAATGCTGACCGTGTCAGTTCCAGGGCAAAAGTCTCCATCCACGACATTTTCTCTCTGTGAGCTTAGAGCACTTTTTTCTATTTACATAATTCCCACTACCTCCAGGAGCCAGGAGCCCTGGCACCAGGGTGGCCAGAACTGGGGGACAGAAATGACTCAAGGATACTCTTGCAAACATTTAAAAATTGTCCCGGAGTGGTGGCCAATTGCAAGAAGGGGCAGCGGCCAACATCAGGTTAGTCTAGGATCCGGGGACAGAGACTCAGCCTCGCCTGGCAAGTGGGGCCCCACCCACAGAGAGAGCTGGATGCCCCTGGATGAGGACGGTGGGCGGCCCGGGAAGGCCGAGCAGGAGCGCTCTGCTGGGGCCTGGTGGCTTCCTACGGGCTGGGAAGGTGAGGCAGTTTCTTGCTGCAGGTCTCTCCTTCCTCCAGGCCTCCGGCAGTGATCTTGACCCCTTGAGTTTAGGGGGGGGACTTGCTTTTGGGGAGGGACAGGACAGGGAGCGTAACATTTTGCCTCACGTCAGCTATGGTGTTTGCACTTTTCAAAGCGCTTTCATAGCCCTGATCTCACTGTGCAATGACCCTGTGAAACAGGCTGAGAACCTGCTACCGTCTCCACTTTAGACGAGGGGAGGCTGAGACCTCAGGGTTTGTTGGGAAACCCTTGTGGTGAAGGGTTGCCACAAAAACCATGACTCTCGAAAGAAAGGGTGACTCTGGATGCTGCGGAAAGCTGGGGTCAGGTTGAGAGATCCCTGCCTGAGGGGCACATCTGGGGGCACAGCCATCAGTAAGCGCAGCCGCATTTACTCGATCGGGGCGGCCCGGGCCAGCCGCTGCTTCTGGGTTCCCCTCTCTTCCTGACGGTGGTCCCTGCCCACGGCCTCTGTTCTCCCCTCTTCCTTATTGTGTCTCCTGATTTCCCCCCACTCCCGATGCCAGGGCCCAGAGGGGGGCAGAGGGGAGCAGGGGCGAGGCCCATGTGGCTTTGACACCCCCTCCCAGACCTCCCTCGGCAGCCCCAGCCTCTCCGCCTGTTTCAGCGTCACCCTGAGCGAGGAACTAGAGCTGACCCGGCGTGCACGTGCAGCCTTAGGCACTCTTCCGACAACGCTAATGAAGAAACCACTGGAGGTGAGAATAACAGCATTTCCTATTGCATGTGAACCTAGGCCTTCTCGCCCGAGCGGACACACTTAACCTAGGAGAATTTCCAGCTGGGCCTGGCTTTGGGGGTTAGAGTCTCACTTAGGTCTCTTCATTGAAAAGCCTTCAAAACGAGGCTGGACAGTGGTCAGAATAGAGGAGACGCAGGAGGAGCAAAGACCGAGGGAAGAGCTCAGTGAGGAAGAGAGTAAACGCAAGCCATGCGGTGGGGCGGTCCCCCGGCCAGGCCCGAGCTCCCACTGCCTCTGCATTGAGGGTGCTGATGGAGACCTCTTGCCGCTCATCTCCGGGGGAAGCAGAGTGACCTGGAAATCTCCCCAGGAGCCTCACACGTGGAGGGATGTACACATCACCACAATCAGCAATAACAGCTGCACACCAGAGCAGCTCTGCAGTCAGACCCTGACCCTGCATCGGTGGGCAACAGCCAAATATGGTATCGGGCATCCCTTAGCTGCATGGGTGGAGCGAAACGGTGACACAGGCCCACAAGCTTGCACCCAGCAGTACAACATTTATGCCCCAGACCCACACCTTTATCACAGGCACAACTAACACACACACACACACACACACAAGACACTCTGCCCACAGCGCACACACTCCTAGGCCCTACTTGTCGTCGCAGTAGGTGAACTTCATGTCCATGCTATGGCGGCTCAGGAAGGTCCTGCTGTCTAGAGGGATGTCCATGTGCGATGGGTGCTGGATGGGCTCACACATGATGATCAGGCAGGAGAGCAGGGGCTCCTTGTAGCCACAGAGACCGCCGTGAGGGGGGCAGTTGTTGTAGACCTTCACCTGGCCAGTGCAGTGCAAGACCTGGAGGCCAGCCATGGAGGGTCAGACGTGGGGCTGAGAGCATGGGGCAGGGGCACATCTGGGGCTCCAACCCATGCCTGGTGTGGCCCTACCTTCCAGGTGGCCGACTTGAGGTTGACGGTGCGGCCTCGGTTGGTGACTGTGCACTTCATCCTCATGAAGAAGTCCCGGTCTGTGGACATGTCTTTGCTTTTCTTCCCGAAACCAGAGCCTGGGCGAGGAAGGGTGGACAGAACCAGCTGAGTTTAGCTTTTCATTTATAAACAGAAGAGGGACCCAGCTGCAGTGTCGTCTGTGCAACACATTGTTTGCATGTCCCAAGATGTGCTCTCTTAGCCCCTGTAGCTGTGATGAACACGGTACCATCTTGGCCTATGGACTAAAGCTTTCTTGTCCCCAGTTGCCTCTCAGCTGGAGTATAAACACCTGAAGAGTAGGGGTGTTACACTGTTTTATTTCCATTGCACCCGGCACGTGGTCAGGGCTCCCCTCAGAGCAGCAAGGCAATGAGTGAGCATTTGCCACAATTTCAGCAAATCTCTGCTGGGGCAGGTCCAGGTTCCCCAGGAGGAATTCCAAGGGACAGTCTAGGAGAGGCCACAATTTCTCCAAGGGGACACACCTCTCAGATTAGAAATGTCCCTCAGACACTCCTGTATTTTCCTCACTCCTGTCCCACAGGAATCTGAACCTTCCTGTGACCTATTTTCAACCAATAATGGCTACATTCAGGATGATGTGTCATCAGCTTTCTCCCTAAAGTGACATATGTCAAGCTGAAGAGAGACCTCTGGTGCAAATCTCCTGGGACTTGGAGAGCAAGTTCACTCTGAGAATTAACTCAACATGGATATCCTTTCTCAGCCAGAATTAAATAAATCACCAAGACAAACAATATAGCTTCCTTCCTTATAGTCTCCAAGTAGCCTGCCCATTCAGAACTTTCTCCACTGTCTGTAAAACAAAGTGATAAATGCAGGAAGTGTCATCGGAATCCCCTTGTGCATGTCTAAATTCCGCCTAACCCACCATCCCCATCCTGGGTCTCTAAGGTGCATGCCTGCCTCCTGCCCAGCACCAGAGAATAATCCAGAGCCTTGTTTCGAATCTCACACTCTTCCCTCCAGGCATGGCCACCAGCCTCTGCACCTCCAGAGGGCTATGATTTATTTGACTCTCATATCCCCAAAGATCTGTCTGTCCAGTGAATTGTGTCCCCTTTGACTCTGTCTTAAGCATTACTAGGAGAGCCCACTAAGTAATGCACTAAATCGTGAATCTTTTTTTTAAAGAAAGAATATTCCTCCATCATGATAATAAAACCATGCCTTCCATACTTAATGATGTTTCTTTCCATTTTAATTTTCATAGGTGGGGTTGGCATATCATGAGATATTCTTGTACCTTGGGGCCTGGACCCACCACCAGGACCAGTGCAAGTGCTGGAGATGCGTCGGCTGTAGCTTGGGTTATTGTTATCACGGCCTCCTAACTTGTTAGCCTCTGGATTCTTGCCATTATGCCATTTGATTAATCTTTCTAAACATAGCTCTAATCGGATTACTCCACCCCTGCTCAAAAACCTTCAGTAGCTCCCGCTGTCTACAGGATAAAGTTCGAAGCCCTCCACCTGGCCTTCAAAGCTTTTCACAATCTGCCTCCTGGTCTTATCTTCCTCTAGGTGCTCAGACTAACCCTTTGCTTCCAGATTATGAGTCCACTCAGGCCGGCACCTTCAATAAGGATCTGCTTGCTGATTTATTGAGTTTGATCCCAAGTCCTCAATACATGGACCAAGAGACCTAAAGTTTACTCCGATAGAGTAGGATCATGCTGTGAATCATGGCACTGGAAAGCTGGAATGTCCTAGACTTTGCCTGGTTCAATACTGTCAATCTGAAAAAGAAGACTCCAAGGAACCAAGCAGAGTATTGACTTGGTTCAGGTCATGTGGTCAGACTGAGACTAGGGTCAGTGGTTGAACTGAGACTGAGAACCCAAGGACCAAAAGGTTTCTGGAGCAGAGAAGATATAAGAGACTTTGTTTCTTCAGGCTTCAAACACCTGCTTTAGAAAGGGATTCAGAAAACCTGCTAGCCCCCTCCCCATGGAACCAGGCAGGACTTTCTCAGCAGCACAGATAAGACATTGAAGAGCCCATGGAGGGCTCTCCAGACTGTTCTGTAGGAGCTTGGTGGTCTGAGGCCATCAGGTGAGAGCAGAGGGGTTGTCTGAGAGGTCAGTGGGTGGGTGGGGGTGGTTGGAATTCTGCATTTTGCAGGCCCAGACTGCAAGCTCAGTCTGTAACAAGGGTGGAAGTGGGCCAATGAAATGTTTGCTTTTGCAGTGTGTACGGTAACAATAGCCAAACCCTGCAGCTTAACCCTGCCTCTGTTACTCAGGTTGGACAAGCACACCTCATGGCAGTGACAGGTGAGAGATGTTAAAGGGGGTGGTTAGACATGGGCAGAATCTGCTCAGGGCAGTGATCTCGTCTCAAAGGCTCTGCTGGATTTTTTTGCACATTGGTTTTTTCTGGATCATGATACTCATGAGCCATCTCTACTACATTCGTATACAAAGGCAATACAGATCCCCTCCAAGGGACACCAGAAGGAAGGAGACACACAATAAAGAATACTTACCATCTTTGAGACTCAGGTTCTCACGGATCTCCTCATGGTCACAGGGATGAGTAAAGTCAAAGATACTGTGTCCTGTTAACTCCACCTGTTTCAAAAACAAGGTTGGACTTCATTATTCCAACATTGAAGTAGAAGATTCCAAGAGGTTGCTGAGCCACCTCCTAGATCTGGAGATAGGGAAGAGACTGAATCAGTGCTCATGTTCCCAATTCAGTGTTAGGGCCACAGACAGGGATGTAACAGGACTGCCGTTGGTGCCAGAGACTTGATACACAAGGGCTGACCTGTTAGTCTAGCCAGCAGAGCTGTCCACCAGGATGGCCACCAGCAATGCCAAACCCAATGCCAGGGGGCGGAAGTGTGGTCCTGAGGCTATGGTCTGGGATCAGAGAGGGGGCAGGGTAGGTACATGCAGGGAGGGGTGAGGAGGGATGTGATCAGAACCTTCCACTAATTTTTGTCCCCAAGAGAAATGTTTTCCCTTTTTGAAAGAGCCAAAGGAGGTTAGTCACCTGTGTGAGTCCCATGAACTTGCTGACGTTTTCCGACAGAAAGATCATGTCTCCATCTTGGGTCACCACAGCAATGAAACCCTCCAAGGCTTTTAAGTACAGGTTGTCCATCTGCTGGTCAGCCTCAGCTTCAGACTCATTTTCAGAGCAAACTGGGAAGACAGGGGGGTGGAATGGCTTGCGTGAATGTGGTGCTAACCCAGATGCGACTGGCATGGACAGATGTCTGCCAGGATGGCACAAAGGCATCAATTGGACTTTTCTGGAAATACACATCGCCAACCATCTAAGCATCTGCCACATGCCCACACAGAGGGCCTGGGATGAGCACACAGGGTCAGCGAAGGTACCAGAGTCACGGATGCTGCTGTTTCTGCAGAGGAATAGAACAGACCCATCTGGGGACAGGCCAGCCTTTAGAGTCAAGAATTGGGCTGTACAGAGTAGTATCCTGGTGGCTTTCCCTCTGTTTTGCTAAAGTAGTGGAAGAAAAGGAGGGAAATTCTTTCCTCTGCACACTCCGGTACAGATGGCTAGCTTATGGGAAGGGGGAGCATCTGGGAATGAATGATCTTGTACCACACACATACCCACACTTGACCACTGTGTACCTGGTGTCTGCCAACTAACTAGTCAGCTAAACTGATGATGATGCACTGAAGGCCAGGAGAGGGTGCCACCTCTGACAATGTTCAGGCTCTCAGTTAACATCTACATTTGAACAGAAGCTTTAGGAGAGACAATGACCCAACTCAGTGCCTTCCAGTTTCAGCAGGGACCAGAATCACCTAGAGGGCTTGCGAAAACAGGGTTTCTGGGCCCAGGACTGCTGTCTAATTTGGGGGGCTCGATGCAAAGTAAAAATGTAGGGCCTCTTGTTGAAAAATTAAACCAGTCCCAGGACCCTTCTAAGTGTGGAGCCCAGCAGGACTGTATAAGTCACACCTGCAAGAAGCGACCCTTGAAGGGACCCATCCCCAAAGTTCCTGATTCAGGAGGTCTTGAGTGGGGGCTGAGCATCTGTTTTCCTAGGAAGGTCCCAGGTGATGTGGAAGCTGTTGGCCCCAGGACCACAGGTTGAGAATCCCCACCTTAACTCAAGGTCCTACGAGTGACCCTAATGCTGAGAAGATCAGCCTGTTTTGGCAGGTGCTGACCTATTTTGGGATGAGTGAGGAGAGGTTTTCAGCACTGTTTAAATCACACCAGGTAGGTGATCCCTTCTCCAGACAGCAGAGCCAGCCGTGTGCTTTCTGGCCTATGAAGGAGGTTTTTTCTCTTTAATTTCTTTGATCTCAGTGGCAACACTGACTTCAAAATCTGGAGTAATACCAAGACAACCTTATTTGGGTTAACTAGGCCCAGAGGAAATAGTTCTGCTTAAAATTTCCTGTTTTTAACAGTTCCGGCAGAGCTCAACTGGTTTCCATCCATGCCCAGTACACTTGCTTCCAGGAGGTGGCGAAGTTGGCTACAGCAGCCAGCCAGCTGGCCTCTGGCAGGGAGGGAGAGGGGCATTTGGGGGGCCATGAGTGGAAACAGAACGTCTTGGAACTGAAGTCACAATGGCTGGAGGACCAGGAAGCCAGCAGGCTGGGCCCCTGGGGACCCTGGGACAGCCGGGCCTCTTTCCTCTGTGGAACCATTTGCTCCCACAGCACCTGCTTACCCTCCTGGGGGCTTCTGAGGGGCCCTGGCCGGCTCCCTGGCAGCTTGGAGCTGAGGGTGAAAACTGCGGTAGAGGCAGACCTTCACGCAAAGGCAGGGGGCGTGCACATCCCCCCACCCTCCCCCGCTGAAGACTTTGCTGCCGTTTTTCCTGCTCTTTTCTGTGAGTATTGTGTCTCCCCTAACGTATCATCAACCTCCAGCTCCGTGTTAGGCACATGGGAAATTAACTACGCAGTTATTATGCCCCTACCGTGTAGGTGTCTGCCCTGTGCTAGTCACAAAGCAGGAAATCAGGTATCTGTCGTCAAGTGTCACCTACTCAGTCCTGCCCCAGGGAATAGAGCACAAGGATGTGAAGAGGTGTGAGAGCAGCCCTGTCCCTGCAGGACTGTCCAGTGGTGGTGGAGACAAAGATAAGCTGCTGTGAGGTTACACACACTGGAGAAAGACCCTCGGTGCCCAGTGGAGAGCACCACGGTAGGCACCCAGTGGGGGCCTTCAGACTGCCTTGGGTTCTTGGTCTCAGTTACTTTCTTCCCAAGACCTTTCAGAATCTGACCCCAAAGAAGAGGGCCAGGTCACCAAAATCAGAGGCACTTTGCTAAGCTGAAGCCTGCTCAGCCCAGGGAGCACAACAAGATTCTTTAATGCTAAAAATAGCCCCTGTAAACAGGCTTTGATGACTCCCCACAGCCAGGATATGCGCGGGCTGAGGTTTCAGAGCACTTTTTCCGGAGCACCACTCATTTCCTTCAGGCAGCACCGCCCGGGTGGGGCGGGACCCCTTGGGCAGCAGGAGCTGGGCGTCTGGGGTGAGTGGTAGGGTGGCAGGGCAGATACTCTGACCAGGTCTCTGAGACCAGGCTGTCACAGCTGCTGCTGCTAGTTAGGATGCATTTTTATTCCACCAGGGTCGTCTTCCCTCGTCTCCTACTCTGAGAGGCTCCAGCACTGCTTTAACTTCTTATAAAACCATTCTCCTGTGATCTTCCCGGTTCAGATGTGCTTGGCTGACAGTCACCACCTAGTTGTCATCGCAGGGGCTTTCTTTCCTTCTAAACCGATTCCTCTCCTCCAGCTCGCCCAGGGCCATAGACACCCCCTTCCCCCATTCCTGGTGTACTGACTGCAAGAGCAGTCTCAGTCGCGACAAGGAAATTATTTTCGGATTCTCACTGGATCATTAGCTATCCTGTAAACTCCACCATCCCCAGATAGTAGGCTCGGGCTACCCTCACGTCTTTGGCAGAAGGTACTGGTTTTACCTAATCTTTCTGGCCTCCCAAAAGGCCTTGAAAATCCACCCTTAAAGATTCATTCCTTTGTTCTTAACTTACTATCCTATCTCACCTCTCTGCATTAACCTTCATAAGCCGTGGTATCTTACCTCTCTGTATCAATGCTCATAAGCTGTAGCACAGGACTGGGGTTAGCAAATACCTACTGATTGACCAGATCCCTCTTTGGTTTAGGTCTTAAGGAAATGATCCGAACAAGGTCAGTATCTCTAGAAGAGATTATACATTAGCTACACTTAGACATTAACATCCTAGCATGAATCGGCTTATCAGCTCCTCTCCAAACAGGACAGAAAAGGGCCTTGGTTTGGAGGGTGAATGAGGCAAGGGGTGGGGCAGTGAAATAGTAGGAGGTGAAAACCTAGGAAAAGAAATCTGAAAGTGATCATAAGAAGGCACCAGAACCATATCTGCCTCCACAATTTCCCCTTTGGTTCCACTTTTCCTGCATGAACAGGTCATGGTAAAAACTTTACTTGCCCCACAATTTAATATCTTTCCCTTAATAGTCTAAAGATCAGGAAATCAGAATCTCTTATTAAGACTAATGCCTTCACTAAGCAAATGCCAATGAATCAATAATCAATCCGACATTCCTCCTTAGAAACCTTACTTCACATTCACCTCCAGCTCTCATGTAAAATGAATTTGCTTTCACCGTATATGAACGTGGGGAAGTAAAAAATCCGTTTTACGGTGAAAAGCTAATTTTGCATATTTACTGTTGTTCAGTGCCCTTCGAACGCAGAAGTGACCCTCATTTAGTCACAGTTTGCGGAGCTCATCTTGAAAGGGGATTTAAGACAATCAAGTGGTATTTCCATCGATGTTCCCGTCAGAGTGTGTTCTGTTCTCGGCCCAGCGTGGAAGCTAATATCATAAAGCTATTGTTTCAGTTTGCTTCCTGTGATACAAATCTCAATCGGCAGCCCAGACTCCTAGCCTGAATTTCTTAGTGTTGAGGTTTCCTCTCCAACATTCCCACACAGAACAGCCTACTGTGAAAATCAAAGGGAAACGTGTTACTAAGTAAAGAAGAAACTTCTCTAAAGCAAAAACCTGGTCTTTTTTAGCCTTTTGAACTCTGAGGTATGCAACCAGCTATTTCCTATTATAAAATGAACCAACATCAGCGCTCACCTTTGTTAGAAATGTTTCAATAATGGGTCTGTTTTGACCTGGAAAAGCTTGGCAACTCTGCTTTTTGACAGAAATTGCTGAAAGGTAGGTAAGAGGATGGCATACTTAATATATATTGTTTATGTATACTTATTATAAATCAACTTGCTTGTTCATAGTAATTTTTATTTCTAAACTATTACTTATCGAGGGCCTAATATGTGGCAGGCAAGAAGATAAGGGCTTTTACAGCCATTATCTCAATCCTCCAACAGCACCGCTTAGAAAGTCAAGCTCAGAGACAGTCAAGAGATTTTCGCAAGACTGCAGAGAAAGTAGGCAGCCAGCGTGAGGTCCCAGCGCAGGCCCATCCGCCCACAAGTCCGTATTCCTTTTCATTGAGCCACGTGTTGTTGGAAAAGCAAAATATGACTAGACATTAAAACGATCCCGCCTCCCACGCAATTCCTGGAAACAATTCCAGCAACTGGTTGAGGGCCTGTGTGGAGGGAGGGCAGAGAAAGGGGATGCTGAAAGCCATCCATCCCTCCCCCTCTCCGGGCGAGGCTTGTTTTATGAGAACTGCTCCTTCGAGGACTCCAGGGCCAGGTGGCTTTGTACCCTTTTCTGTTATGGCTTACGCTGGGACAGAGAGGACCCGACCCGACATGCTGAGGACGCTGGCTGGTCTGGGGCTGAGCCCAGCCAGAGGGCAGGCAGTTTGTGTTCACAACTTGCAACGCTCCTGAGTGGAGACGTGTACGTCTCGCTGTGGCCACTCTGGTCCCATCTCCCTTGGCGTGTCTGGCACGCAGGGGGTTCTCGTCAGTACACAGGCAAGACGTGCTCAGACGCCCAGCCTCTGATTCCTGGTCCTTTCCAAGTCAGCCTCTGCACCATGGGGAGGCTCATGCACGGGAGCACGTGGAAAACACGGCCCTGCACAAGAGAGAGGCCAGAAACAACTCACCCAACGTGAGGTCGCCCCGAGGCACCTCCATTTAATTCTGGTTCCCCTGCCTTTTCCCTCCTCTTCCCCACACACTCAACCCCTTTCAGCATCTTCGCCTGACCAGGTTTGCAGAATGCACCTGCCTTCCTGTGTCTGTCTTTCCCATGGACCAAAATTCAAAACGACTTGAATTTCAGGTGCAGATTCACCGTGTGCTAAATGTGTGACTTTGGGCAGCCCTAGCTTTTCTGTGCTTCACATTTCGTCATCTGTGAGACGTTCCACAGTCAAATTCAATCAGAGATATCCCGGGGTTAATGTATCACCCCTTCTGGGATTCTCTGTTGGTGGAGGAATGGGGGTGGTTGTGGAAAGAAGCAGTGATTAACCCAAAGGAATTAATGTCTAAGAGCAGAATTTCAAGCACCATTACTGGGCTGTTGAGATGTTTCAGGGCGTCTGTGCATATGTAGAGGTGATTCCAACACTAGCAGACACAGACCTCATCTGTCCAGGAAGATGAGCCTCTTTAAAAGAAAGAGGCTCGCCCTGCCGGGCGTGGCTCAGCGATTGAGCATCGACCTAGGATCCAGGCGATCGGGGTTCGATTCCCGGTCAGGGCACATGCCCGGGTTGCGGGCTCGATCAGTGACTCTCTCATCATTGATGTTTCTATCTCTCTCTCTCTCTCCCTCTCCTTTCCTCTCTCTGAAATCAATAAAGGTATATTTAAAAAAAAAAAAGAAAAAGGCTCACATATTCCCTGAGATGGCTCCTCCAGACCTGCCCACTGTTCCCTCTTTCTATAGCATGTATGACAATGAATTTGCCACTGCTTTGTGTTGTTTCTTTGGAAGTATTTTATAGAGCATGTCTTTGCCCTTGGTTGTCCCTGTCCCGTCTGTACTTTTCCAAGATTCTTTAGACTTTACAGTACAGGGTTAGCCCTCCAACCCTTGGACCCACTGAGCTGTCATCCTATTTTCTGAAAGTCTTTCCCCCATATCCTTCCTGTGCTCCAGGGCCCAGAATAGCACGTCGGTCTGGCCTCCCAGGCTCACACTGGATTCCCTTTGCTCAGGGTTTCTTTCCCAGAATAGCCACTTCATAACAGGATGGCAGCATCCACCCAGCTCCAAGGCACCCGACTCACTCAGGAAAACTGAAAACCAACCACAAAAGGACCTTCCTTCCCTGCCGGCCTCCCTCACACCCCCTGCCTTGGATGCTGCCCACCTGGAGCACCACAACAGGCGAGGAGGGACGCTTCCCAACGCCCCGTTTCCCTATGAAATCAACACACCAAACGGGACTGTCACATGGGAATCTGAAACTGGGAAACTCCTCGGGCCGCCTCTTTCTGGTCAAGACTAACAGGAAATGGCTTTATGAAGAATGTAAACTCTGAGAAAAAAAACGTTTTGTGAACTCGAGTCTTGCAGAGATACCAGGGAGGGTGAGCATGAGCTAGTTCCATGGCGAGGTGGTTGCCTGTCAAAGACGCCCCAGCGAATGAGCGTTGCGGGGTCAGGTGCCTTACAGACAGCATCTTGGCCGATTCTCAGAGACGCCCTGTGCAGTCAGTACTCCTAACTGCCTTTTACAGTTGAGGAAGCCAGGAGCAGAGACACAGAATAATTAGCCTGGCCGACTGGCTAGTGAGAGGGGAAGACTGCCTGGGCACACCGCTGCCCTTGGGAGAGGCAGCTGGAAGACGGGCACTGACACGCGTCCTGAGGACTCAGCCGAGTGGACTGTGCCTCAGGCGGCCCGGCGGAGAGGCAGCCGAGACGGCAGCAAACGCTGCTTTGCTCTCCAGCCCCCCCCTCCGCTTCCAGGCGCCCACGCATCTCCTTGGGCCTGTCCTCGCCTTTCATCTCGTGGCTGCGTTCGCGGTGAAGGTCACTGCTGGGAGGGAGACGTGTGACATGAAGGGATGAAGCACCAATGACGGTGTTTCTGTGGGTGGAAGTTTTGCAGAATGGGGAGACCTTCCAGTGGCCTCCTAGCTCTGGCACAACAGAGCCTCCTGGGGGCGTTTACCGGCCTCACCTGAGGACAGGAGCTTGTGCGTTCGCAGGAAGCTGATGGCCAGCCGCATGATGGAGGCCTTGTCCAGGTGGGAGCTCACACTGTGAGGCAAGGGCAGCTCGTGGGCCAGCTCATAGAAGACCTCCGTCTCCTTGCTTCTCCGGGACCTTGCTGCATCCCGGGACTTCTCCTTCCTCCTCTCCGAGCTGCTCCTAGATAGAGAGAGAGGGGTTAGTCTCCAAAACGTCACTGTCATTCTGTCACACCCCTGATCAAGACGCCCCGAGGGCCCCAACCCATGGTACAACCGACTCTCACACTGAGCCAATGTGGGCTCACACCAGTCGTCTGAGCCACGCGCCCATGATGTCCTAGACAGGGCTTCACGGGGGGGGTTGGAGCAAAGACTTGCCAGTTAAATTCATCCACTGGCAATGCCTGGGACCTGGGCCTGGTTCTCTTGGGACTGAGGTGAAGGTGCTGTGATGGGGAGGGAAGTGTGAGGTGGCTGTGTCCAAAATTCTGGAAAACCAGATGAAAAACTGCTTCAAGTTTCCCTTTCTGGATAAAAATGCTCTTAGAAAAAAAATTAAGCCCAGTGCTAGACCTTACACCCTATTTTGTATCAGAGAGTGATTTCAATGCTAAAAACTGAAAATGTCATTAGAGCCCAAGAAGAATAGTCAGCCAGACATTGGTCAGCCTGGTGTCCCAGGGTGCACACCTGCCGAGGGCTGCAGAGGAGGGAGCACATGTTTTCTTCCTAACCCCACCAGCATGTTCCTCTTCTTTGCAGGACAGAAGAAAAGATGACACACATCCATACCTGCCTCTTTCAGGAAGTCCTGACAAGATCCTGGACCTTCCTATATATCGTTCTAAAACGGGCAAGTTTAAAAGCCAGACTCTCCGTATTTAAATTCTAACTTCTCCACTTGCCAGCTTTATACACTCAAATTGCTTTAACTGCTTAACCTCAACCTCAGTTTTCTCATCTGTAAAATGGTCATAATAGTACTTATACCTCACAGAGTTATAGTGAGGATTAAGTATGATAATTTATGTAAAATCTCTAGCACCAGGCCTATCCCAAGTGGAAGCAATCAATATTAGCTAGTATTAATAACAAATATGTCCATGAAAAGATGATCATGAGAGTAAAACATTACAGAAGTGTACAGTACAACCTGATTTTCACAGAAATATAGCTCTTGCATGTTACGTTAGAAAAAGCCTAGAAACATAATAAAATAATAACGATTATTCTTACAGCTGTCATATATATATATAGTGCTTACTATATTCCAGGCACTGTTTTAAGTACTACTANTATTATTCTTACAGCTGTCATATATATATAGTGCTTACTATATTCCAGGCACTGTTTTAAGTACTACTACGTTAGCTTCTTTAATTCTTACAGCTACCCCTGGAAGTCATTATTATTATTATCTCTAATTAACAGATGACGAAATGGGTCCATAGAGGCTCACTGGTCTGCAGCTTCTCGGCAGGTAAATGGGGAAGCGGGGCTTGGCTCCAGGCGGGTGAGCCCCGAATCCGGGCTCTTGCCATTGATGACTGCCTTGTCTCGTCTCTCTGCACACGAAAGTGTCAGCGGTTTCAGGGTGGTGAGGTAAGGGGCGATACTTTTCCTTTGTGCTTATCTGTATTTTCCTATGTTTCTAAAATAACCTGTGTTGCGTTTTTAGCAAGCAGGTTTATTTCTCTTTTTGTTAACGCGCACAGTGCAGTTTGGCCCCGCGGCCTCACCTGGCAGCCTCAGCTCCCCCCGCCGAGGCTCCCGAACCAGGGCTGTGCCCCTCTTGTTTGGCTTTGGAGCCTGCTATCTGGACAGATAACCCGTATTTTGGGATTCGTGGAATGCTTACGTGCCTTTCAAACCCTTCAAGATCTGGGGCAGAGGCAACTGTTTTGACTTTGCAACATGTTTCATTTTTAAAAAGAGAACATCCAGCCCCATTTACTCAGCCTGCAGAGGGAACGTCCAGTGGCTGCTAATGGTCAGGAGGAACCTTCAGGAAAACTACGAAATGGGTGACACTGTTTTTTCTTGCCTATCTCTCTTTTATGTTTCCTTTACCTAATCCCTGCTCCCTCCTCGCCCCGCTTTCAATTCCCAGAACTCCCCCTTGCGCTCCACCCATCGCCACCCTCTCAGATCCGCCCTCATGACCACGTTGCTTTTGCATCAGATCTTTAATGACAGTTTATAAATTAGTTTCTCCCGCTTGCATTTTAATCCTGACCTCTGATCGTGAAGCAAACGCAGTTGTTCAGGGCTTGCAGGCATCACGACACAGGAAATAAGGGTGGGAAGGGGACAGAACGCTGAAACTGTACACATCACGCCTACGTGCCACGAAGGCCAGCGTCCTGAAGACGCGGATTCCATTCTCCAGCCCCAAGCCTTGCCCACCCGGCAAGGGCAGTGTCAACATGCAGCCAGTCAGCGAGGCACCTAGAGAAGCCATCCCGGGGTGGGAAAGGTCCCCAGGACAGGCCGGGCGTTCACGCCAACATCTGCGTGCGCAGAGCGGCCCTTCGCCGTTGCCCCTTCCTGGGAGTGGACGAGCAGACGCGGCAGAGAGAACCGGGAAGGGGAAAGGCAGGCTGGGCCGACGCCCTGTCTGGCGATGGCATTTGACATCTGGGTCCTACCGTGTTCCCTGGGACTGCAAATGTTCGTTGACACCTACGTTTGTGCCTGGCGCTGCACCAAGGACCTTACATGTATCACCTCATTACGATCCTCCTAACAGCGCAAAATGGTAGATATTGTGTGCACAGTTTATACATGTGGAGACTGCGGCTCGGACATAACATGCAACTTGCCCAAGATCACAAAGCAAAGGCCTGCATAAGCGCTTGGGAATTGTCAGTGAGCAGACACTTAGAAGTCCTGAGACACGTGGGTGCTCCCTGCCTGATTCCACCCTCACCACCTACATGTGAGATGGGCAAGACAGGCATTGCTGCTCCCCCCATTTCACAGATCTGGAAACTGAGGCCTGGCCCAGCTAAGTGACTTACCAAGAGCCATCCAACTAATTAGTGGCAGAGCTGGGGCTAGAACCCATCTCTTCCTAGGCCAATATGCTTCCCACAGCTGAACGGTAGAAGGTAGTGGCTTTAGCAAGAAATAAAGAAATAGCAACATCTTAACATTTAGAAAAAGAAAGATGATTGGGAATGTCAAGCAGCCTCTTGGTTTGAAAGTCATGAGCTCCAGTTTAGCTACCTTGGTTTTAGTTGCACTCTGGGGACCAACATGACTTTAATTAAATTATCTAGTTATATTTGACACAGCCCAGAGATATCTGTCTAATGTTGACTCTTGGAAGAACAGACAAAAATGTGTAACTCTGCCATGATTTAGTTAGCGACCCTGAAGAACAGGTACAATTAATGCCAAGTGTGAGCGTAAGATCCCCTGTGCCCAGCAGATGCAGGCACCACCTACTTCCTCACACACTTGTCAGGGTTAGGTCTCTTAGCAAATTGAACAGGGGACTGGAAGTTAGGAGGACTGATGTTTTAATATATTGGCCACAAACTATCCATCTGGTTTTGGACAGGAAAATGCATTCTTTGTTCCCTTATAGCCTCACCTGTAACGTGGCAGGGATCTCACGCCTCGTTTGTAAGGATCACGTGAGATGCGCAGAGGGTGTGCCTCTCTATTCTGTGCTTCGCATTATTGCGCTTTCACCGATGTTGCGTTTTTTCCAAATTGAAGGCAAGATCCTCCGCAAGCAAAGACCACGGCTCCCTGTATTGTGGCGTCTTGAAACCGACCCGCAGTGTCCCTGAGGTATGCCTGCGCTAGAAGGCTCTCCACAAATGGAAGCCGTCATGACCGACGATAATGATTCCATCATCTGGCTAATGTGAGTATTAGTCACATTCAGACTTTGGCCACAACAGCGTTCTTCATCACCAAACCACTGCTGTCTCAGGGCTGGAGACTTAGGCTTTATTTCCTAAAACACTCAAACTTTACTTTCTCTCCCTACAAGGGTTCTAGAATTAATTGCAATAGACCAGAATTTCTTTAAATGACAATTCTAGACATGGCGTGTTAGAATTCTCTGGTTTCTTGTAAAAAGATATTTTATCCTAAGTTTTCCAAATCACCAGAAAGGACTCAGAAATTTATTCTTACTCCACATTGCTCTTTCGACAAAGTTCCTGCTCCTGTCTTTCTTGACTGCCCTCCGGTGAGCACAATATTTTGTATACGGAACACACAGCATAAACCCGGCCTGGGTACCGGGCCCACGTGCGGCGCAGGGGTGTTGACTGAGCTCTGCGCCGGGCCGCGTGGAAGGAACTGCGGAGGGGATAAGGCAGACATCCCTTGTTTTCAAGGAGAATGCAGTCTAGTTAGGGAGCCAGCAACTTGAAACATTTCTATTAACTACAGAAATAAGTACAAACAATAAACACCATAGGTGGTTTAGATAAGAAACACACGAGTATGAGTAAACAGGTCAGGGAGGCAGGATTTCAGCTGATCCTAGAAGGACAAGTAACAATACCGCTGCGGTGTTTGCAGGGTTCAGAGAACACTTTTTGCTCCTACATGTGTTATCTCATGTGAGTCTCACATCAGCCCTGAGAGATAGGAACTAGTATCCCCATTTAATAGATGAAGAAGTGGAGATTCAGAGGGATTAAGTAACTTGTTAAGTTAGATATTGTCTCAAACCTAGTTCCTCTGGGTCTCCAGGATCAAAGGTTTCTCCACTGGCAGCAAAGAAACTGTTACCTATTGTAAGCCTTCAAAATGCACTGTGAGGGTTAGAGACTTTCCCACATATTGGATGGTCATGTACAGGGCAGGAGGAATAGGTTAGATTGGAAAAAGAGACAGTGGCATACAGATTCCGTGGGGGTGACGGGAGGCTCTGTCCTTAAATGAGCTCCCACTCACCTGGGGAAAAGACCCACGCCCTAGGAGTAGGATTCAAAACCAACATCCGAGTTCAAACGGAGTGTGAGCAGGAAGAGGGCGAGTCGGTGCTGTGGGTTTAGCAGGAGGCTGCCTCCATCCCGCAGGGCTGGGGTGGTGTTATCAGGAGTGGCTTCTCGGTGCTCCATAAAGCTGCGGGTCCAACCTGCATGTATGTGTCTCTCCATGTTGCCAGCGGAGAACAAGCAGTTTCTGTCTTTTTTTTTTTTTTTTGACACCTGAATATACACAAATTTATACTTAAGTCCCAAATTGGAAACTCAAAGTCTGAAACATTGGATCCCAACTAAGGAAAGTAACCACTTAAGGACCAGGCAGTCAGTCAAAAGACAAAACTGTCCTAAAGCTCCAGCAGGTAAATGCTACAATTCAACCAGGAAAAACTTCTTGGTCCAGAGCTTCGCTATCTTAAAAATGTCTCCTTAACTTCTGGGTCATTGCTCCAAGATGGAATCATTATCAGCTCTTGGGCAATAAGCTCCTGGTTTCTGGCTTCCAGGTGAATACAGCCCGGTGGGGCCTCCAAGATGTCACCAGCTGCAACAGTGGGGTTGGCTGCTTACTTAGTGACAGTCTCCTGATGTTTAGTGTGATCAGGACTCCCAAGTTTAATGCTTGTGGGCCATCAGGTTATCAAAACCATATGTCCATTACTTATGAGGTTAGAGAGCTTAGAAGCAGAATGGATTATAGGTCAGGGAGGGAGGCTGAAGCTAATTAAACCATCTTAGATGAATCTATTGGTTGACGGTGAAGTTCTAAGCAGGTACCAGTTTGCAGGAGCTGTGAATGGAGGAAATGAGGTAAAATGCAATTAGGAGGAGCTCTCATGAGCCCTCACTGAGGCTGTGCGGCTGTGGACAATGCTGCCCGAGGGAGAAACACACCAGCTTCAGGTCCCAGAGATCAGGACAAGTGGCTGACCCACACTCCTCGGGCGTGATTGCCTTGCGGATTAAACGAGAGCAGAACCAAAGCCAGCGCGTCTCAATCTTGGCCACTCACTGGAATCATCAGAGGAGCCCTAAAAACTGATGCTTTGGTCCTTTGTGGAATCGCCCAGAGATTCCCATGTAATAGGCCGGAGGCACAGCCTGAGCATTGGATTTAAAGCTTCCCGTGTGATTCTTCAGTGCAGCCAGGGCTGGGAACCACTGTTGCAAAGCAGTCAGCTTTAAAATACAACACGCCCCTCCCCTTTTTATTTTTGGTGGAAGGCAGAGAAAACTGATATTGATTGAGCACTGGGGGCTAGGTGCGCTTCATAAACAACTTCACCTGACCCTCACTTAAAACATGCAGTGTGTTTGGTCTGGCTTTTGCTTAGCAGTGGTTTTCAACTTTAGTCTATAGCAGAATCACCTGGAGGGCTTATTAAACCATAGGTTTCTGATCGTGTGATCACATGTCTTTGGAGGACTGACACCCAGCCTGCTTCTTAAACCTAGCCACACGCTTTCCCTCTAACGGGCAGTGTCCACATTCACTATGGCCAGCAAATTTGGAGTCACCACCAAAACCCAGTTATTCATCTGGGAGCTCATGTGACCATGCCTGTACCAGATGCTATAACTGACAGAAAGAGACAAAAATAAGGAGGCAGAGATTTGAAAAGATGTCACATAAAAGGCAGATGCCTCTCAAAACTGCCACCTTGGGAGAAGGTACAAACTTCACTCCTGTGAAGTGGTCATTGTGCTAAGTATTTTGGGAGGTCTTTTTAGAATTCACTTCAGAGCTACACAAGAAAATCAGTCATAACACTTCATAAACCACGCTTCATTTTAAATCCCAAACAATATTATCCTGTTTGCCCATCCCCTGTAGTTGCCAGGCTTGGCTGTAAATGGAATTTGGTTGTTTGAAAGAATAAAATGTGCCCTCAAAGATAAGGCCTTGCCACAATTGAAGGTTTTCAAAAGAATGGTCTTTGGCTCTGCAGGCAATTTGAAAGGAGTGGCAAAATGTTTTAGAAGAGGGCGGTGTTCTGGTGACCAACTTTCCGGGGACATTCTGATGGCTGTCCCAGGGCAGTAGTGATTAATGGGGGAAGCTGTTATAAAGGAGAGGAAAGGGATCAGCATGGGCCAGTCAAAACAGAAGAAATCTAATTAGCAAATTCCGGAGGAGCTGGGCAGATCAAACCACCCTGGACAAGGGGGAAAGGCATCAATACACTTCATTCAGTATGCAGACTGGTGAGGGGAATGGGTTGGCCCTGAAGAGACCACAGCCCACCTGGGAGATAACATGACCACATACCAGTATATTCAAAGTCCTAAAGAGGGGATACAAAGAGGAGGTGAGGGCTGGAGGGGCTAAAATAGGAATGGATGTTTTCACTCACTCCTTCCCTGAAGGAGGAATCCTGAAAAGTGTCTCATATCTCAGCCTCCCAACCTCCCTCCTCTGGGGCTGAGCCCCCAGCTCCCTGGCTCACTCGGATGGCCTGTGCCCCCAGAGACAGGGCCTGGACTGCATTCAGAGCTGACAGTAATG